TGTGTTTTGTTGCCAAGATAGAGTGTTGGATGTTCTTGCTCGCTTCATGAACTTGACATACAGTACACATCATTCTCCTCATCTGACCGCTCGGTGACCATACCAATGTACCACTCACTGTCATAAATTCAAGCAATATAATATCCAGGTTGACATTCATTGGCCACTATTTGATTGCTTACACCTGCATGGACACTGTTGATGGTAACAACATCACAATGCTGATCACTGGATAATCGTCGCATTTCAATATTTCCATCATCAGTTGGTATGAAGCTGTGGTGTGACCTGGTTCCTGCAATTGTTTTGGAGGATGCAAACCTGTCACTAAGGTTATACTTCTCTGCATTTGCTTGAATGTCATCACTACTAACATATAGAAATTTAATTCCGGTGATGTTCCCATCAGCCCACTCAAACATCTGCAGTGGACTGGGAATTTGGTTCTCAACAGTAGCTTGGAGGCTTGCTCTGGCAACCAGCCTTTTTGTGGTACCCCCTAAGCCATCACACAGGCTCTTTCCATGACTGGTTGCGAAGAAATGCCATTCAGCAATAAGTCCATGATCAGATGAATGGTGACAGAGATTTGACGTATTTTTGTGATTTTTATATTGGCTTGCAGCCCCATCACTGTAATATATGCATTTCCGCAAACCTGGAATCTGATCCTTGATGTAAGGAATCAAGTGAGAGATGAAAGCATGGACGGCTGTAGTATCATGCTTCATACAATCTGAAATCATAACAACGCTTATGCACTTCAGTTCTCCTTCCACATTATGATACACATCTAGATGTGTTCCCAGTAATAGCCCTGTATAGCATCTTGAACGAGGAAACTGTAGTTTTCAGCAAAATCTAATAAGATGATAGCTGTGTCTGGTTGTAAGGATTGCTTTAATGATTGCAGGTATGAAGACTGTGATTTAGTGATGAAGTGATGGCTCCGTAAACAATCAACAGCATTACAAACTGTTTCAATATAATCATGCACTGAAGTTGTGAGGGTAACCAATGCAGTTCTATCAGTATGCATCCATTGCTTGTAAGTTACATTATCATCCATATCCACTTCATTGGCAGAAAACAAATCTATTAAGTAAATGCTCAATGCATTCTTACCTGGACAATTTTCACAACATTGCAACATGCAGTTGCGGTTTTCAGTGTTACACACTAGTTTACTGAGATAATCCTTGTAATCACACTTATCAGGAGAGACTGTCAGAAGTAGTTTCACATTTTGGTGCTGCTGACACACACATACAGAATGCATACCCTGTCTCTTATACACATCTAGATGTGTATAATGACACACACATACAGAATGCATACCTGCAGTCTGCAGACTTTCATAGCGATCGAGATACACTTTATGATGATGGAAACATATGCTATAATCATCAGCCAATGTTAATCCACTTCTCCACTCGAGCATTTTTTTTCCCTCCTCTGATATCTGATTAACTGCAAAGAAGCCAGCATCGCCTTTCACAAAATTTTTCTTATGGCAGGAATCATTCAAATTTAAACCAATGCTGCATTTGGATAACTCGGATGATGTTCCCTCCATCGTGATGATCTAAATGTTGATATCTTAAGTATATATTCCAACACTATGCCTAATACAAATGTGTGTATAAAAGTGTGCTGCACCTTTAGACAAGATGTTCCTCTAGCTATCTCAAACTGAAATGACTCTTTATTACTTTGCAGTGATATGGACTGGATGAGACATGCAAATAAACCTATTTGAAAAACATGTCTGGACATGAGATAACCATGACATCAATTGAATTGACAATGTCCAGTGTAAAAATTAATAAACAATGTTATCTTGGTATGTGTGGCATGATGTATGGTTTATAACAATTTACTTTCAAGACCCATGTTTAAAATAAAAAATAGTTACCATTGGTGTATGCAAACTTGTATGAAATATTAATGTCAAATTGTTTATTATTGCATTCATCACTTTATATTGCCATATTATGACTGCAGAAATGCCACATTTAAACCCTGTCACATCCTTGAAGGAGTTGAGTAGCAAAGCTGAAATTTTGTTTACATATTACTATGATACCTATCTTCGACAGGTTAGAGTTTCAAAAATTATTTCAACTGATCGCGGGGTCATCCGGGGTCATGAACGTCAAGCCATTTAAAGGATTTTTCTGGCTGGGGCCCATTTTGGGACTCTGTATTTTCTGATTTAAAGCTTTAATGGGATTGTTATTACTTCTGGATGTAGTCCTATGACCATAGATTATATTCAAGTAGAATGGAGCCCATGTTACCCCTAGTTTTCATTCAGGGTCACCCCAAAAATTGAAAAAAAACTTAATCGCTCATTCTGGACCCTACTTTAGGCAATCATAACTTGAAATCTAAAGATGATACCTTAAATCTGAGTGCAGATTCATAAAATTTGGCAAAAAGTAAGTCAGAATACCAACTTTGAGCTCTTTGTCTTGTCCGTAGGCCGAAATATGGCATTTTGAAATCCGAAATTATTCAAAATGTCAAGTCCAGAAAATTTCAAAGGGTCGTATCTCAAAAACGACATGGAGTATGACTTTCATATTTTGCATGTGTCCATGTGAGCAACATATCATCATTCTGACCAAATTTCATTAAAATCTGAGGGGGTCACCTGGGGACCTCTGGTTGATTTGACATGGAATGACCCTATTATTTATTTAAGTTTAAGTTGATCTTATCTTACATGCCAAATTGTTGTCTTCCATTAATTAACGATCTGTAAGTAAAATTTTATCCAAGTCAAACAAGTTTTTAATGCCATTTTGGATTCGACTTAGGCAAGTTTACCTATAACCAATCAAAAGATCACATTTCAGGATGTTTATATTTTCAACAAAAATGTAGTCTTAAAACCAGACAACAAACAGATTGAAAGCAATTTTTGATATGTTGTAAAAATGATTTTTCGAAGACAAAATAAGAGTGTTTGATGAAGAACTTGGAAATGATAAATGCAATACAACTTTTTGAATATTTAAAAAATTAAGGGAAAATGGAGCTAACCACCATTTTTCCTCCCAGTTGTTAAATATTAAAAAAAATTATATCTCATTAACTATTCCCAAGTTTTTGTCAAACACCATTTCTGTGTCTTTGAAAAATAGTTGTATATCATAATATATATTTTTTTTTTCTCTGGAGCCTGGCTTTATAATAAAATATAATGTCATCTGGTTGATGTCCAGTTTCTACTTACCTGGAGCATGTACTAATAAAGGTGTAGTGGGAACACTACGTCCACCATCATCATCCCCTAACAATGGGTTGATACGTGTCTCATCCATACCAAGGCCTGAAAAAAAATCATACATTTTATTGTTAAACTCTCCTCTGCACTTTCTTCCTGAATTGAGGACCAACTTTATATTTGAAGCCTTCAGCCCAAAATAGACGTGGACTGCTCATCCCTACAAGTTACTTCTTCCCAAGATGGCGCTGTCTAGTCCACAATGACAGGGACAGTGAGATGGACCAGTACACCAGGGTAACTACTCTTATTTATTTATGTGGTGGCTTGTCCAACCAGGACTTGGCCTACCACGGATCTCTAACGTCGTCTGTCCTGTGCAGCTATTGTCACTTCGACATGTCTTAGGTTGGTCTACTGGCAAACTTCCCTCATCTATGTCCGCCTAGGTCTTCCTCGTGGTCTCCTCCCTCTGACTTTTCCTTTCAAGATATTTCTTTGAATATTATTGGCTCTGATTATGTGACCAAGGTACTGAAACGCTTCTCACGTAATACGGGTCATTTTTTTTTCCCTACTCATCTCGAAAGATGTACTGGAAAATTTACAGTGAACCTGAGATTACAGTTTACTGTCCTGAGAAGACTTGTTCCCACTCCAGAGCCATAGACAAGCATGCCATACAAGTCAGCGATGATATTAAATGGTTGTGGTGGCCCTGCATTAACTGCTCGGCCATTTGACTTGCCTTTTCATTTTACTGTCATGGTAATAAAATGTGTCACTATCTATAAAACTAAGACCCAAATATACATTGCAGATCCGAAAACACACTTCCTGAGTAAAAAATGATGATTGCACAGGAAAATGAAACATTTTAAGACACTTTCTATACACAACATTAACATTTTTTACTTACCATGTGTGTACGCACAACAGCAGCATTAATGGCATTGACAGGCTGAGAGAATAGCAGCACAAACAATTTGGCGTGATATTTGGGCGGATCCAGAAGTTTTCAAAAGGGGAGCCAAGTATTTGTTTTCTAGTTTGTCTTATTTCACTGTACTCTATGGGAGGGGGCAAGTTCCCCTGTGGCCCCCCCCCCCATTAGATCTGCCACTGAAAGTTGACAATGTTTATGGTGACTAATTATATCCTCAGCTAATAGAAATACAATGGTAAATTAAATCTTAGACGTACGTTCTTGGGTCTCCAGCTGTGCTAGACCTGGTCTGGTAGTCTCAGCTTCACCAGGAGGACCAAAGTGAAATCGTGAAGCCTGTAACAATGGTGAGCTGCAAATAATTAGAAAAGAAAACAAAATTATATGGTCAAGCAAATCCAATTTCTTTAGTGCAGTATGTTTACTCAATTGTAAGGTGTGGATTTTAAAGACAATCTGAATTTAATACTGTTTTTATTTCTGATTAATACTGTAATTCAATTTAGAAAAAAAAAAAAAGTTAGTCAACAGTGTTTGGAATAGGATGGAGTGAATGGTTGTGATGAGGTACTTGTACACCTTGGATCAAAATTAGCTGCTAATGGCAAACTTACTTGATGACCTCAGCAAAACCTCCATCTGACCTTGGAACAAATAATGTTGGTGTGCTAGGAACCAGACGGTCATCTCCAACATCTTCAAACGGCACACCGGTAGCCTAAATCCAGCATATAAGTGATTATTAAATCATTTTTTCGTTATTATTATTACTAATACTGTATTATTTTGTGAATGAGCATGCCTTAACAGTGAAATCATCAATACATGTTAAAGCTTACATTACATTTTAACAAAATTAGTGATGCAGTACTCACATAAAAGAGAGACGGCCTGCCAATTGAGGGCAGTCTTTCGGTTCTCTGATGGTAAAAATGATAATTACTAGACAGAAATTATTTTTAAGTTCCAAAAAAGGAAATTGGTATATTATTGGTTTATTCGGGTAATTATTTACAAAATAGAGTGTTATTTTTATTTATTCATTCATTCAATTATTTATTTGAACATCAAGAAGAAATGAGCTATATACAATTATATTAAAGATAGATCAGATACAGCTTATGTAAAGAATTATATTTTATGATAAAGGTGACTGCTGTAAATGCAAATTTCTACACTATACAGTTGTTGGGTTTGTTTAGTGGCATGAGGAAAGCTGACATGCACAAGTTAAACTAATCATTAATAATGTTTAAAAATTCTTGAAAATTGTTGAATGGAATGGTTTTGAATCATTAACAAAACATCTGCAACAATAGGACACCAAACTCCCACCCTATTTAGAACACTGTCTAGAACAAAATAATCCTATTAAAACCACTCTCAATAAAAATAGGCTCACAACGTGCTGGCTGACATTTGGCCAACGCAATTCAATAGAAACCAAAGTGCAACGATGCATGTGCAACATACAATGTGATTTCAACGACTATCAACTCGACAACCAGCAGACTGTGTCTGTACTGTCAAAGCATTCAACCTGAATAAAGATGGATTCTTCAGCCAATGCAATGTGTGTCTGGCTTAAGTCTACTAAATAACCAATTTAGTAGGCAGCTGCACAGTATTTTCAGTAGCATTTATATTGTTATTTTGTATACAGGTCTCTCTCCTATTAAAGAACCTCCAATTATAGACCGCTTCTAATTAAAGACCTGTTTTCTGTGGGCCAAAACGAACAAATGTCTTATCTAATATTCTATAGACCAAATCTGCTAAGACCATGAATATCCCAGTCCCAAAAGTGGTCTTTAATTGGAGGGAGACCATTTCATATTCTGTTTCCATTAAATATGCAACTAAGTATAAATCTGATTATATGTCTCGTGAATAGTGATACAGGTCTTCTTGAAATGAAAAGCGGTCTTTAGACCACTTTTGGGACTGGGGCTAACTCTTTAGAATAATAAAGATAAAACGCATTGTTCATTTGGGACTACACAAAAGTGGTCTTCCATTGGAGGTGGTCTTCAATAGGAGAGGTCTTTAATTAGAGGGAGGCTAGTAGTTGTGCTTTATTTTTAATATACTTATCAAGAGGTCAAACAGAGATACCATTTGCCTACAGTTAATTTATGTACAGTAGGCCAAACTGCTGCTATCATAGAAAGTATCTTTCAAAAATCCTACATGTAAAAATACCAAGGTACTTACGTGATGAAGAGGTGCAGATGATTGGCTCTGCTCTGGGGGTACAACACCTAACAGAGAGGGTGAGACATGCTGCTGGGAACTGCTTCTAGAAGAGTCTTGATGTGTTTCCATGACATCATCGTCATCATCCTCATCTGACAGAAAATAAATGAAAAAATAAAAATAAAGGAAAATAAGGATGAAAAAAACAAATATAATATGTTTTATTTGTTTGTTATAATTTTGGTTGCTTGGCTTCTATTAAAACAAATTGTTTAATATATAACAGAGGATGTAGTTATGATGAGTTTAACAATGTTATCACCCACCCACACACCCTTAAAATGTCTGTCAACCATTTTCAGTTTTCTACAACTACAACCCTGTATAACCTACACATTATAGCGATATAGTTGGTATTGTCAGATGATTTTTAAAAAAAAAGTAAATATTTTTTTACCAATAATCTCTACAACTTCGTTTGTATCATCTTCCATTGGATCATCATCATCTTCTTCCTCATCTCCTCTGTCCATTCCTTCTTCTTCTTCATCAATCTCATCCATATCTGTTTCCTGAAAAAAAAACAAAAACAAAACTCTTAAATTATATTATATTATATTATAATCAGTAATTAAAATCTAAAGAAAAAAAACTTTGTAGATGAGGTAAAGCACTATATAAGGCCAGGGTTCTCAATTACATCAAAATAGGGGCCAAAATTTGGGGCATTTTTATTATCATCACTATCACCAGTCTACATTTTGTAAAATAAATGTCCAAAAAAAAATATATTGATTTTAATTGGCTCGTTTTGTTTGGTATTTATTGTAATATGTTTATTAGTGATATTTTAGTTGAAATTGAGTATGCTTTTTCAGGGTAAAGTCACGATACATAAACATAGAATTTAAATGTGTAAAAGATTAATTTTAAATACAACGCTGGAGCGACCGGAGGAGGGGAATTCGCACCCCCCTGCCTAGGTCCCTAAAGATCCCCTGCACGGGGACTCTGGCCTCTTTGTTACGCCACTGTTGAAAACTCATGCATTACATCCATAAAAACCTATCACAAGTGTTTATTCAATGATTGACTAATGATTGTCGTAGTACAAATCTGTGTATCATTAAGGTAGTTAGGGTAGTATACCCTATTACCTCAAATTCATCTTCGTACTCTTCATAATCCTCATCTTCGTCATCATCTTCTTCATCTTTCCTTTGTTGTCCTTCAAAAACCTCTTCATCCTAATAAAACAAATCATTTTGTTACTTGGAGTGGCTGTGATTACTTGTAAATGGAAGAAATTTTGTGAGTTGTTGCCTTTCGTATACATGAAACATTTTCCTGCTGCACAATAAATATAACCTGTTTGAAGTATTATTCAGAATTATTGCTTTGTATGGTAAAAAGTGAGACCTGGCCAGTACAACACAGTGAGGTTGGAGCACAATAATAATAAATAAATAATATAGGGTTTTATACCGGTGCCATTTGGGTCCTGGGGAGCATTCCTAGTCGTGCTTGCAATTTAATGCTAATACATTCAATGCCACATCATCCTACCATGTACCCATTTATACTCCTGGGTGGTGAGAGACAAACATACCCCAGTATTCTTAAAACCAACTTTAAAAAACTTAAAAATTGCATCATTTTGTATTCTTAAAATGCACTACGACTGAATCACGCCAACCTTGACTAAAATTATACCTCCGCAGGCCAATAATTTTAGTCAGCCTAGGGTTGGGCTAAATCGCCGACTTGAAGTATTTACCCCTACTAAAAACGTGGGATAAATATCCCCTAGTGTTGTGGTCACATAGCTTCACCATAACGACAACAAAGATGGCGCCGCCCTCGCTCGGGCTCAACTATCATAGTACTGCTCAAATTCTCTATCATTATATGTTAATGACTAATAATATTTATTATTATAGGAAATTAATTAAGCGAATGATTATCTATTAAGAATTATGAGGAAATATTTTTTTGAAGGCCAGACAGCAGCTTTATATTCACCCGTGTTGCCGGATCTCTAAAATTTTGTCTGCTATTAAAATGAGCTCTTTTCATTGGTTGGTTTGACAGTCATTGCTTGCCAGTCATCTTCAGCTGAACTAAAACTAGGACTTGATTTAGTCGTAGTTAGAACTTCGACTACGTTGTTTATGAATACAAATTTATGTTCAAGTTACCACTGGGACTAAATCAAGTTCTAGTTCAAAGTTTGACTAAAGTTCGTTTTAAGAATACGGGCGATAAAGTGCCTTGCCAAAAAACACAAGAGAAATCGAAGCTTTGATCCTCCCACCTTAAGGGTTAGGCCTTAATATTACTAGAATCAATCCTCTTTATTTTAGGAGCGGTTGGAAGCAGTGATTGCATTTTAGTGCTAGGAAATCATAACTGGGGCGGATTGCTATAAGCGGTCTTTGAAATGTTTCGACGTTTAGCCGGCTTTAATCGTGACATCACTACTGGTCCATGATTATAGACCATTGCTACACTGCGCTCTAACTAGTTAGCCGTCTTAAATTTCAAAGCCTTCTCGAAGAAGTAGGTGTTGCAGGTACTAGACCTAGATCGTCAAAGACCAAGGATCAAAAGGCAAATGCTCCGCGAACTTCTCATCATCTCCAAAAACCAGTCTTCATTTATTTACGATCATTTTGATACATGTGCAGTGTGCATACATGAATCGAGCGAGTGTGGCGTATGTGTAAGAGCGCCCTCAATTTTGTTACTAGGGAGAGCTTGTTAGCGTTTCAATACTCATCACGGTCTAAACGAACACCGTTTTATAGCAATGGTCTTATCGGATTTTATTTAGGAAGACAGTCAGGATGTGACTGTATTTCGAGGACTACCAGTTAAGAACGTTTTATAGCAATCCGCCCTTGGAGTTGGAAACTTTGAATGATGATTCAATAATAGTAGGAGGAAAACAATATTTTGCATTGCTTACATCTTCACTTTCAAGGACAATAACATCACTATCTTCTCTTTCCTCATCTCCAAGGGCAATGCCAATCCCAGCATCATCGTCTCCTTCACTATCAACAAACTGAACCTCATCATCGTCATTGTTGACACATGGTGGCGGTTTATACTGCTGACCATCCTGTTGGTTAGCCTCTTGTTGTACAGCTTCACGTTGTTGTTCTACTTGCTGCTGCGTAACTCGCTGTGGCTGCTTCTCCCTGCGAGGATCCTCGCGCGGCTGGACAACTTCTTGGGGAAGAGCCTGTGCTTCTTTGCTGTCTTCCGGAACGGGTTCTTCCTTCGGCTGATCGCTTTGCTTACTTGGTTCAGGGGACGCTTCACCCTTTAAGGAAATACACAAAGAAATGTCAATTGCACAAATCTTGTTATCAGTTGTCAGCTACATTTATATGAAGTTTTCTATTTTTCTTTTTAAAGTCGTCGGAGACTAAGTATATGTTTGTATGTGTGCTCTAGATATACCATGCCAATATTATTTTATATACCTCTAATATTTACATAGACTGATCAGATCCACTCTGCAGTGACATACACATTTTCAATAACAGTACTCTTTTTTGTCAAGTTCTTGCGTTGGGGGGGGGGCTATGCTAATGGCCATTTTACTATAGCTCATTTAAACAGTCTTCTCTCACCTGTTTTTGAACTTTCTGCTTCTTTTCAAGCGGGGGCGTGCTTTCTCGTTCTGTTGGTACTGCTTCGCTGTTAACAAACAGAAACATTTTCAATTAGACATTACTGTATGAATATGAAGTTAGCTTTTGACAAGCAACACATCATTGAAAATGAGTTATCATATTCTGTGTATGTTGTTCTTGAAGCCCAGCGGCGTATCTAGGGCACTCCCAACCTAAAACCTTGGATTCCCATTGAAAATGTTCGAAGCATGTTAAAGTAGATAAAAATCACCTCACATCACCTTATTGTGCAAGCTAGCATCCCTTCAGTTAATCAAAGGCCCCACTTAAATTCACTCTCCCCCCCCCCTCCTTAGCACCCCCTCCCATTTCAAGAGCACAGTCTGCGACACGCGATAGCAGCAATTATCTGTAATTGAATGTAATTATCCAATTTACAGCTCATTTTAAATTGTTTCAATACTGTAAAACCTTGAATTGAAGCCCTGTGGGCTTAATCCCAAGATGAAGCCCATCTCGAATTGAAGCCCCCCTTTTAAGTTTGCAAAAGTAGCCTCAAGAAGAAGTCCAGCTCAATGCCCATGGGCTTCTTTTCAAGATAGGGTAGGGTTCTTTTTGAGATAGTACCAACACTGTAAATGAATTTTAGGGAAAAAAAAGAAAGCTTGGTTTAGACAGTATTTTAGTTGATTAAATGCCATTTAAATACACTTCATGATATAGATTGATGTTACAGTGGCGTTATTTATTGTTTTATAGAAATTTAAACAAATTTACAGCATTCATTTTGAAAAGAAGCCCCCCCTCTTTACTTTGCATATGTAGCCTTGAAAAGAAGCCCATCTCGAAAAGAAGCCAATCCAAAGTTCGCAAAAAAAAAAATAATTCAGCTAATGCTGTGGTATAGTAAGTTGACATTGAAGAATCTCACCTCTCATTATCATCATCATCTCTTGGCCTCTTCATAGCTACAGCAGAGGGGGTAGGTTCAGTAGATGGCCTTGTGCTGGTAGAGGGTTCAATGGTTGCAACACTTGTGCTTTCTGCCTGTACGCAAGCCTCACATCCACCGGAGGTTTCTATAAAAAAAAAAAAAAAGACTTTGTCTTGATTTTCAAGTTGGGAAATAATTAAAGGGTCATGATTTGTGAATTACCTTATGCCAAAAGTGAATGAAATCAAACTACGGCAGGTTGGATTAAACCCATAGAGCTATAAAATAATTAAAAGTGCTGACTAGGTGATGAAGCAATGCAGAGTTGTGTATGTGTACCATCCAAGATGGCCACCGAAGGAAAGTGCCACCTTCAAACTTAGTATACATACTACAACCATAAATAAGCCATCTGATTATTATTTCATTAATAATTATTGTTCAAAATATTAATCAATTATTAAACTACTGTAGCCAAAAAGAAAAAGTGGAGTATCTGATTTCAAAATAAAGTACTGAGGAATGAAAATTGAAATCGTGTACACTACACCGCAATGCTCGAGACTCAACATAGCTGTATTCAAAACATTAGTTGAGGGTGCCATTCAAATGATGCTTAGTATATTACGATTGGCTGAATCTACGAAAGCTATCTTGTAAGGTACACACACACAACAATTTCAAACATCAAAATACATTGAAGTTAACACTCTAGTATTGTTAATATTAACTCTATGATCATACCAGAGTATGATAATTTAAAGCCCCGTTCCCGGCAAAATTTCAGTTTTTAAGAAAAATCTAATTTTTGTATAATGTTATAAAGATTTATAAATATAATACGGAATTGCTAGTTTAACTGAATTTAGACATTCCTAAGAATGAAAAAAATGTAAAATAAGACTGAAATTTGATTTTTTTGTGTTCAACACAAAAAATAAATGCGGATGAATTTTTCATTTTGATTTTGCGATAGGTCGTGAGAAGAAATATCGTAGGCACCGAAAACATTAGCAGTATCCAGCGCTGCTAGGCTAGGCCTAGCCTTACCTCGATTTAGGTTCTGTTATCACACATAAAAACGGCTCTCTTATACACATCTAGATGTGTATAAGAGACAGGACAAACCCTCCTTTTAACGGCAGCAGCGCACAAAGAGACAAACCCTACTTTTAACAGCAATGTACTACATATATTTGCAAAGTTGTAACAGGAACAATGGATTAAAGAAACATTTCCAAAAGACGAATAATTTACAGGTGGAGCAGTTTGATAGAATAGGGAAAACAAATATCTTTCTTATGTAATGCATTTACAGGGATAAATGAAAGCAGTGTTCGAAACCTAGAGCAGCGGACAACCTAGATGCTGTCTCTTATACACATCTAGATGTGTATAAGAGACAGGTCTTGATTTTCAAGTTGGGAAATAATTAAAGGGTCATGATTTGTGAATTATCTTATGCCAAAAGTGAATGAAATCAAACTATGGCAGGTTGGATTAAACCCATAGAGCTATAAAATAATTAAAAGTGCTGACTGGGTGACGAAGCAATGCAGAGTTGTGTATGTGTACCATTCAAGATGGCCACCGAAGGAAAGCGCCACCTTCAAATTTAGTATACATGCTACAACCATAAATAAGCCATCTGACTATTATTTCATTAATAATTATTGTTCAATATATTAATAAATTATTAAACTACTGTAGCCAAAAAGAAAAAGTGGAGTATCTGATTTCAAAATAAAGTACTGAGGAATGAAAATTGAAATCGTGTACACTACACTGAAATGCTCGAGACTCAACATACCTGTATCCAAAACTTTAGTTGAGGGTGCCATTCAAATGATGCTTAATATATTACGATTGGCTGAATCTACGAAAGCTATCTTGTAAGGTATACACACACACACAACAATTTCGAACATCAAAATACATTGAAGTTAGCACTCTAGTATTCTTAATATTAACTCTATGATCATACCAGAGTATGATAATTTAATACTAATTTACCAGGTTCATATCCTTGTGACGTTGAGGGCTCTTCTGCCAATGGCTGGCTCTCCATCACCGGCTCAGCAATCGCAACAGGTGGAGCAAGCTGCGTTGGAGGCACAACCCACACCGGTGTAGCCGTGACCACATTTGTCATGGTAGACAGCTCGTTTTCCGATGACTCCGGTTGTGGAGGCGGTTGGGACGGAGTGGAAGAGGGTTCCTGCGTTTGCGGCATGACCGTTGCCATGGGAGTTGGTGTGACTGAGGGTGAGGAGACGGATGAGGCTGTCTTTGCTATTGGTCGAATACTGGCTGTGGCTCTTAAGGTGCTTGAGGTAGGGGAAGGCTTAGCGGTCGTGGGAGAGGGTGTCGCCATTGGCTTGATGTTGGCTGTTGGTGGGGGTTCTTCTCTTGTTGTGCTAAAAAAATAAAATTAAATGATTGAGAAAAATCTAAATAAAAATAGCAAATCATGATAATTGTACGATTTGTATGATTTGTTATATTAGTTTGTGAGTCTAATGGCCGAGCTGTTAGGGCAGGAACACCACAGCCTACTGCCATAATATTGGCGGTGGTTTGAACAAATATGTGTTTATCAGTTATACATACCCAACAACCTCTGATTGCTCTTATCAAATGTGCTATGAGGCAATGCTTAAAAACTTCTTTGGATAGAGCTACGAATCCAAGCCAGTTTTATCTTTTTAAAGTATTGCACAATACCAAATACATTTGTGAAGGTTCTCTACTGACAAGTTTAGAACCTTCTTATTTAAAATTTAAACAGCAGTATATCTATACTTATCTTTATAGTACAAATGGCTCCCAGCTTTCTAAATTTAAATGTAAATGCTGTACAGTACTTTATTATCAAACTAATTCACGAGTCCAGGCTTTGATAACAATCAGGGTCATATGTTAATACAGTGGTCGTTATTACCTTGGTCTCTCTGATGCTACCAGGACTTGTTGTTGCTGCTGTTGTGTCTGTAGTTGTTTCTGTTGATCGTTGATGATACGTTGTTGCTCTTGACACTAAATATACCAAAACATTACAGATATACTGTTCAAATATACTCCTAAAATTCATGTCAAATTATAATTGTTCAATTACGATAAAAAATTAAACGTTTAACGAGACAGAATTCTAATTTTCTTTTTTTATAATTTACAGACTTTTTACTATGGAGTTTAAAGAACTAGACAAAAGCAGAAAATGTACTATTCATTATTTATTCATATGTTAAATTATCTATTTTCAATTAAAAGCATCTTTGTTGTCTGTTAAGTTACTACTTCAACTCTACAAAGACATTAGTCACTAGCAGTAATGAGCAAGGATATTTTTTATTCATATATGCATTTACGTTTTTGTAAGTTTTTATAATTGAATGTGAACTTGGTTGCCTTAATTGGGATTAAGGCCTCTGCATAGATAGTAGATTACGGTTTCAAATCCTGATAGGGATGAATTATTATTATTATTGAATTATTATTTTATATGTATGTATGTGTGTGTGGGTGTGTATATGTGTATAGTATATGTATTCATTAAAATAACCACAAGACAGACTCCAAACTTATTGTACTTATAAAATAAAACAAACAAAAATGTTATGCAAGTGATTTGCTCATACTAAAAAGGAAAATGAGATTTTCTTTTTTATAATGTGTTTCAAGAAGGGAAAAATACAGTTCCGGTGAGTCTTTATTAACATTAGGCTTCAAAATGCTACAGAACAGAGCAGTGAAAATGATTCTACTGCTTTCTTGCCATTTTCTTTGTTTGATTTTCATGTAGAATTAGGATATTTCATGGTTATTTTTCTGTACATAAATATACAAAGATATTTAAATCATGATTTATTACCTTTTGTTGAACGTCTTCCAAATCCTTCTGTGCCTTCTGCCTCTGTTGTGCCAGCTCATTTTTTAGTTTCATCTGCAAAATATCCCATTAAAAATAAACTTTTATATGTAAGGCACCTGAAATAGATACCAAGCACCAACCATCTCCAACTAGGCCCCTTCTCACACTAATGGACCTTTCGGGTGTGTCAATCAAACTTAGAAACTCACCAATCAGAACAGGGCCAAGAATACGCACATGTCCCGCAAACGCACATGTCCCACAAACGCACATGTCCCGCAAACGCACATGTCCCGCAAACGCACATGTCCCGCAAACGCACATGTCCCACAAACACACGTTTACATACATTTACGCTGTTTTCTTGGACATTAGCAACATTACCCAATGGTCAGTGGCTTAGCGGAAAAGTTTATTGAAACCTTTAGCTGGGCTTCTGGGGTTTCTTGGTAGTACGATGCTTCGGAACACATGATGGTCAATTCGGCAGCAGCGCACTGAGAGACAAACCCTACTTTTAACAGCAATGTACTACATATATTTGCAAAGTTGTAACAGGAACAATGGATTAAAGAAACATTTCCAAAAGACGAATAATTTACAGGTGGAGCAGTTTGATAGAATAGGGAAAACAAATATCTTTCTTATGTAATGCATTTACAGGGATAAATGAAAGCAGTGTTCGAAACCTAGAGCAGCGGACAACCTAGATGGAAGCTTTGGTTGTCCGCAAATATTTTTATTTGTCCGTATATTATCTGTTGCTTGCTTCATTTTTGCCTTGCACTGTTTTCCCTCCTGCTTTTGTAGCACTGTCAGAGCATGGGTTTGGGTAATTTACACTGCTTTTAGTACTAGTATTTGATAATTTTAATTTCTCTCCTTTCCATTATGCACCCTTTGGCTCTTAGTCACCCTCTGTAACATGCTAACCTGCTTTGTAACATAGCTGCATGGTGAGTGCTTTCTGTATGTATGCATGAGTCATTAGCCAGGCTCCATCACTATAGGATGACCTGGGGGTTCGGGTTAGATGGAATATGCTAACCTGCTGCTTTGAATGAAAATAAAAACATTGCAAAAATAATTTCTTTTCTTTTTCTTTGCCTTGTTGTATGGCCCACCCATAGAGCTATTAAACAACTAGAGTGCTGACAAGATGGCGCAGCAATGCAGAGTTATGTATGTGTACCATCCAAGATGGCCGTCGTAGTAAAGCGCCACCTTCAGGCTTAGTATACATATTATTACATATTAATAAGCCCTCTGACTGACTATTATTTCATTAATGATAATGAGTAACGGTAATAACAAAACTATTGTAGCCAAATCGAGGCCAAGTGGAGCATCTTATTCAAAAATAAAGTACCAAAGAATGAAAATTAAAATCGTGTACATTACACCCAAACACAGCAACGCTCGAGTTTCAAACATACGGGTAACTAGCTGTACTGAACTTTCTGAGTAAATTGAGGGCGCAATTGCAAACGATGGTGTTTAGCGAAATTTGATTGGCAGCCATCTTGGATGGTACACGCACAGTTCTGCAAACATCGAATACATTGCGGTTAGCGCTCTAGTATTCTTTATATCTCTATGGGCCCGCCACAGTATAAGTAACACGCGTAAGGGCGCCTCAGTTCAAGTCTCGGACCAAAACGTGAGAAAACATGTTATTCGGCAAATCAAAAATGGCCGCGCCCGTGATAACAACGCAGTAAATTCGGGAGGCAAAAAACGATTACTCGAGGTGAGGTTTGGGTCCAAAATTTTTTGGTTGTCCCACGGACAAGTTGCCTTATAGTTCTGGTTGTCCGTGGGACATTTTGGTTGGCTGGGACAAGCAGACAAACCTTATTTCGATCACTGGAGAGTAATTATAGTAATTACCTGTTGTTCATTAGCCTCTTTGAGTTGGTGTTCCAGCTTCCTCCGCTGAATTTGATACTCCTCCTTTGCCTTGTTTGACTGCCTATCCTGCTCTGCTGACAGGATTTCAGAAGCCTGCACTTGACCTTTTAACTCATCTATGTCATCCAGGCTCTGGAAGGAGGGGGGGGGGTGAGAAACATTTTTTGATATGTTGTACAACTTATTTTTCTAAGACAAAAAATGTGTTTGACAAAAAACTTAAGATAGATTTTTGAATATTTAATAAAAAAGGGGAGATGAAGTGGGGAGGTGGAAAGGTAAAAAAATGGTGGTTATGCCCCTTTTTCCCCCACTTTTTAAATATTGAAAATCTGTATTTCAATTAACTGTTCCAAAGTTGTACAACCAATCAAATTTATGTTTTCCTCAGGAATCTGGCTTTAACAGTAATAAAAATAAACTGTAAATTGTAGCAAGCGCAAAGTATATGTTGTAAAATCTAAATCTTTACAGTCCTCTTAGGGGCTGGTAAAGGTTATGAGATATTACAGTTATTACTACTTTGAGACTTTATTAAGATCACATCGATCCTTGTTCCAACTTGTTACAAGGTGTTTTATTTGACAAAACGATGTACATATGAATAGACAAAATTGGCAACTAGGATCACATAACCTATAGTGGGTATACAGTAAATTGTAAACAGTGCCAGTGATGTTTAGTAATAACAAAACACATGGTGTCTTTACAGTGTTTCTGCTGTAATGCGCATAGCTGATATTGAATAACGTTGGAATGCCAGTATGCTATTCGGATATGAGTTTGCGTCAGGAAGTTATCATGGGAGAGATGTTTTGCCCTACCATAATTCATATCCGAATAACACTCGCAAGCTCTAGTGGTTAAGACATCAGGCTAGATACCTGGAGGTCGTGGGTTCGATTCCCACCCGAATCACTTGAATCGCTAGTATTTGGGGACGTACTGAGTATTCAGTATGATTACACGTCGGGTAAGGAAAAACATCTCTCCCAATGCCAGTATGCTATACCAAATTGGTTGGAAATTGAAATGGAGAATATGGTCATAATGATTTGCATATTTTCCAAAAGACACTGGCCTGAAATATTGAGATTTTTTAAAGAATAAGGCTTAGGCCCCTCCATAACTACGGCCTGTTTAGGTATGCAATCCACAAACTGCGAGTGGGACACACACTACGATTTCTAGGCTAGCTCAAGTTTTACAAAGAATCATGCAAATCTCTAAGCTTAAAATGCACAGGGAACTCTAGAATAAGTATGTAAACTCTATTTTAAACAATCGTATTGCCTTTCTTGCTATCCATTCGTAGGCGGGAGTTATCGAACTCTCTGTCCCATTTGAGACGGGCATTGCTAATGTCCATATTTTTATGTGCAATAAGTACACCCCGTTGATTAACGACATTCGAGACTCCGGACACACTGCTAATTTGCTTGCCATCGAAATCCGTTCTCGTGGGTTCATCTATCGTAAAAATGAAAATCGGCTGAAAACAATTCCCTCTCTCTGCAACAGGCCGCTTCCATTTAAAGATTTTAATCAAACAATCTCTAAACTTGCAATTATATCTTCTTTCAGCATTTTCCACCACAAAAATGAACCCACTTGGATCGATCAACCCTTACTTAAGATTTAAACAAACCTTTCCATTTCGGGCTTAATATTGTAATGCAGCAGGGAATACTCAGAGGCTAAATGTGCAACTTATTGGTGACGTTTTTGTCTGTCTTCCTTTGTTCTTTGTCTTCTTGTCCGTTTTGTTTTTGTCAATGTTTGGGCTCTGCCCCTCCCTTCTGCGTGTTATTTCTTTGAATATACTTTGCCACTCGTCTAGGGAGTATTTATATGTTTCCTTTTATTTTTCAAAATCACAATTTATACACATTTTATATTTTTATATTGTATAAATTTTTGATATTTGAAATAAAAGTGATCTTAAATAAACCTTTTCCTATACTTTTACACTGTGTGTACTGTAAATCAAACCCACAGAATTTTTTGACTTACTACTTAGGGTTGTCATGCGTTTCCTTGTACCCTGCAGGGCATTTTTAAACTTCTCTTCTTTCTCATCTTTTTCTGTTAATTGTGTCTAAAAAAAAAACGTTATTGTGTATGACATGATTAGTACAAAAGAACAAAATAATGGTAATATTTGACAAACTTTAAAATGATTAACAAAAAAGAATTGTTGATTAAAATTGTTTAGCTTAACAGTATATCATAATACAGATCTCACTCCTACCAAAGGAAAAAGAAGGTAATGTAATATCATATCTAGAAAAGAATTCATTGATTTCAAAAACAAATTAGAAAAAATGGATGTATTTTAAATACAATATAAAAATAGTGTTTTATGGTTGACATGATATTAATTGTTGATTAAAACTGTTTAGCTTCACAGTATATTATAACACAGATCTCACTACTACCAAAAGAAAAAGAATGTAATGTAATATTAATATATTTAGAAAAGAATTCATTGATTTCAATAACAAAATAGAGAAAAAATGGTTATATTCTAAATACAATATAAAAATAGTGTTTTATGGTTGATATAATTATTATTCTAATAAAAACCATAATGTAAACAAATAATATTAATTATCATCATCACAATGAATATTTTAGTATTCAGCAGCCAAATGACTGAAATGATGCATTAATTTACAAAAAACATATGCCGTACTTATATTTTCGTTTTAAATATTATCCTCGTTATTAACACTATTTCTAACAATAGTAATAATTACCTTCATTTTCTCATTCTCTTCTTTCATTTGGGTTGTTTCCTGTAGAGGGAGAATAATTTAAAATTAAGAATATAAGAAAACAAGAAAGCAACAAAAAAAGATTATGACCATGAAAAAAAGAATACTGTTTAGCCATAATCACATACACTGGCACTACAGCAGAGTTTATGTTTACATTGGCAGTATTCAGCTGGTTCGTTTCGTTGACAACGATTTTTCGTTTTAGTATTATTTTCACTCAGCTGGTTCGTAAAATAGACAACGTTGACAACGGATATTAACATAAACCAGAGTGCGTTAATTTGCAATAAATTATGCATGTGACCAAAACATATTCTCTCTCAAAGACGACATTATATATGGAGTTGTTATAGGCATTGGCACATGTGTATCTAATACTGAAAATCCACTACATTAGTTAATTACTGTATCACAGCCATGCTTTATTTGTAACATTTTTACTGCTGGTGATCCATCAAGCACAGACCTGTTTACTGGTAAATAGAGTTAATTAAAAAAAAAAAAAAAATGTATTCAAATTTAAGCCTTGAAAGTGCAATTTCCTGGCATCTTGAGGTGCTATAATCATACATTTTCTTCTAGATCCTCCTTCTGCCTCCCTGGCCCTCTCTACTTCAGATTCCTGGATCCGCCGCGGCTGTACTCACCTCCGTTAAAGTCTTGACCTGCTCTTCAAGAGTCTTTAGCTTGCTCTCCGTTTCTGGACCAACTTGGGGCGTGGCCGCAGCCTGCTGTTTTTCATCCTCCTTAACCTTGGCCTGAAGCGTATCAAACTGAAGCTTCAGTTCGTCAAACTGTGACTTGTACTTACGCCCGATCTTCCTCACCTAAAGAAAACAGAATAAGAACAGTAACTGGTAAGTGTAACAAGCTGGGGTCTTCTTCGGCATACTAGGCACTTTACGCATGAGGCCGTCGACAACAGCAGTTCGGGTTAGGTGCCCTATTGTTTGCTGTGGTCTTCACGCTCTGATGAGCACAAAACCACCGTCTACCCGTCTTCCCGTCCTATTGCGTAAAGTGATGAATATTGCAAACACAACAGCTTTTAGATATTTCTTATTTTATTTACTGTATCAAAAATAATGATGCCATTTGTGTTTTTCTCTTGAATACCAATAAAAACCACCCTTTTTTACACCAGTTTTTTTTAAATATAAAAAAATCTCTATATCTATTCCAGCGTTTTTTTGGCAAACACCCTTTCTGTGTCTTACTAAAATCACTCTATTTAACTCTGGAGTCTGGCTTTAAAGATTTAAGTATTCTTCCTAAATCTTATGGTGTATTGGCTTTTGCAAGATTTTGAACTAGTCAGAATTAGCCCCAGGTTTATACAAGAGTGGTATAATCCTTTGTGAATCAATAATGGATATAATTGTACATTAGGGGTTGGCATAAAAATGGATCGGAGGTTAAAAGTCAATTTTTGATTTAATACTGAGGACCGAACCTAAACTGTGATGTTTCCAGTGTGCTTTAACCAACCTTTATGCAGTGCTTTTGTACCAATTCATTCCCAGTTTTAATGTTACTTTTTACGGATGCTTGGTGTCAGGCAGTAAACAAAGCGTTTTCCAGCCAAAGATGGTTGATGTCATGCACACATGATGTTTTAATTCATTTTTGAGAGCTGTGTTGTACACTGTATATGACTGCCTATGATTCCAGTCACCAGGGGACTGTAGTATTACCCCATCCTATGTACTGTAGCAGATAATTCTACCAGTGCAACACAAAAGTAAACATAACAAATTGAATAATATATAAATATTCACTTGATTAATAGTCTTCTTCTGTTCTTCCACATCCTTTATCTTCTCTTCAACTGTCTTCTTTGATGCATTTAGTGCCTCACTAGGATTAACAAATAAATATTTTAAATTATTAATTGTGTACTTATTGCATGTAAAAAGACATAATAGGATTTAAGGAGGTTTCATAAAATTGTTGTCAATGAATACTTAATTTCATTAAACATAATATACAATTTTACTTTTGTTTTATGTTGGTCTCTAATTAAAATAAAGATGAAAGACATTTGTCGAATTAGGACCAGAGAACAGTGGTCTTTAATTGAAGGTAATCTATAATTGGGGGTCTTTAATTAGAGGTTGACCTGTACTTTAAACATATTACCAATGTTAACCCTCTAGATACCGTCTTCGACTGTAGTCGAAATTGACCTCAAACCGAGAATTCCCATTTTCGACTGCAATCGAAATTTCGTGACTAAAAAATAGGTGGTTTTCAAATCGCTCTTCTGTTTTTATTTTAGCTCCAATACGTCAGAAATTTTGAACACGCATGCGTGAAGCTTTTGTTTTTCGGAATCTGTGAAGAACTCACATGCGCTTATATAAAAATGTTTAGAAATATCAATTTGAAATTGTTATTAATTTCAAAAATTTTTCGAAATGGCCGCACAAGATGTGTACACAGCTGAGCAAGCGATTGACCTGATTTTTGATTCAGACAGCGATGAAGGTGAATTTTTAGATGTGAGAGACTTAGACGTGCCTGTTAGCGATGATGACGGTGGGGCTTCAAGCAGTTCTGACGGCGGAGATATTCTTGATGAAGATGAGCCTAGGCCTAGAAATGTGAGGGTAGTCGTCGCTTTTGAATGGAAAGATCGCGCTTATAGTTATGGATGGTTGGGTAAATAAATTATATAACTGTGTGGAATAGGAATGTTTTATATTTGTTTTTATTTTTTTTTGGCTATAAATTTTTTTTTTTTCGGTTTTTGCTGACAATTTATATGTAGCATTTTTCTGTCATTTCTATTATATTATATATATATTATGAAAAAAAATTCCCAAAAATATAAATTATACATCAAATGAAAGCTTATTCTATAAGCTTTCTTTGTTTTTAGAAACATTTTTCTGTATAATTTACAGAAAGTTCCCAAAAATCCACCAGAACGACGTATACTCAAAAAAAGCAAAAAACCTTGTTACACTACAAAAGAATCCGGTATCCAGAGGGTTAAGTGCAAATTGCAAATCTAATATCATTTAGTTAAAATTATACCCAAAATAAGGTAGCAACTTACTTCACTTTCGCAAGTTCAAGCTTGTGTTGTGATCTAATTATAGAACAGAGAATGTGTTTAATTGAATAAAATTCAAGATAAACTTTACACTGCCATTGATATGCAATACTAAATGAAATTATAATTTTTTATATAATTAAAGTTACTCAATCGTTTAATCAGCCAAGCACCAAATCAATTGATTACTATAATTAATCAATCTAACAATGATTCAGTCAATTAACCAACCAACCAACCAATCAATAAATCTAAAAATAAAAAAGTAATAACTAAATCAATACATGAATAAATCAATAAAAAACTAAATTAATCAATAAATCAATAAATCATTAAATCAAATTAAATTTGTATATCGCAAATATCTTCTTTGCTAAAAATAAGTATAAAAACTCTTTAGAATAAACTTACTGAGCATTACTGTGGGTCAGGTTCATTCTTGAAATCTCAGATCTAAATAATAAAAAAAAACTACTTGTTATGGCAATTTAGTTTAGTTAAGATTTATTCAGTTCATTCAAATTTAAAATAGAAGAAAAAAACATCATAAAACGAAACTATTGACAACATTATCTAAGAAAGTTTAATAATAAACTTATTTCCATTGCCCTTAATACAAAAAGAGAGCATCGACAATTGCACAAAAGAGGCTCATGATAAAAAATGAAAAATACAATAATTTCAATTTCAAACAAAACAGGATTAGTTAAATAATAGTTACAATTTAAACATTCATCTCAGTGTTCTCCCTAGGAATTTTTCAAGGTGTAATGGGAAAACGCGCGGCGACACCATATTCCATAGTTGTAGTTGTATTCATTCTGCTTGAAAGCCATAAAATAAAATTATTAAGCCCAATAATATACTGAAAAATTTTTTATTAATTCATTAATTAATTGTAGATATAAACAATTAATCTCTAATTTGAAAAGTTCACGGACATGTTATATATTTCAAAAACTTACCGAGATGATGTTAACTGTGAGTTGAGACGAGATATTTCAGCTCTGAAGAAAAAGAAAAAATAAATAAATAAATAACCAGCACAACTTGTACACAACAAACAATATTGACGAAATACCGTATATACATGCAAATAAGACGAGGATTAAAATAGCAAATTATGGTTGAAAAACAGGTCGTCTTTTATGTGTGACAAACAAATTTGAGATTCTTTAAATCAAGTTTGGCTTTCGTGCAAAAAGAATGAATTCCGACGGTGAAAAGGGCCACCATCTTATGCGCTGACATACAAAAATAGTCCAAAAAGTTTTCAAAACTCGTGGGTCATCTTATATGCGGGTCACCATATACGCGAGTATATACGGTATAATAACACTGGGAAGTGACAAGAACGATCTTCTTACTTGTTGCGGAATTGCTCTTCTGTTAAGGTCTTGATTGTCTTTCGATTATTATCTCGTTCTTCACTGTGGAATAACCAAACTTAAATTTTAAAATACCTTAATTGAATAAACCACCTTTGAAATTATAATACAATCCCAATACATGTACAAACAAAATCTGATCACATATGCACTCTCAATGAGCTTCGGAAAAATGTTAAAATTGGCTAAAAAAATCTGGCAGTGGCTGATACTTAAACTGTCATCATCATTATCAATATAATTATATATCATAATATATATCTGTAAATACAATAATCTTGGCTATCACCATACTATTATCTTACACTTAATCATCCTCATAGTCATCATCCCCATTTTCATTATAATTTTATCATTTTTATTAAAATATTCATTATTATTAATACCTCCATAATATTACCTTGACATGATCATATTAATAATCATCTTTGAATAATTTCATTGGTTTTTAATGCAGGTATTGATTGATGAATATCCACTGATAGTGGAACGAAAAGTAGCAATACAAATACTTTTACTTGGTTTCAAAAGAATGCTACAATCAATACTCTTAATTATTATACTCCTCATTGGCATCATCCTTATCATTTTTGATAAAATATTCATAATTATTTCTACCATAATAATATTATCTTACGTAAGTTTCTTCTGCTCCTCGGGATCTGCCTTGTTACTTTTTTCAATGAGATTATTGGTTCGTTCCTTCCATCGGGTAACCTCATTTGTCAATGAAGTCTTCTCCGCCGATAAAGTATACTTTTGAACGATCAGCTCTCTATTAGTTTCTTGTAAGGGAGCAATATCAGACTCAAGCTTGTTAATCTGCAAGAAGAATGACAATAATCTATTCAATTTCTGTTTGGAGTGCAATATTTCATTTCAAAATTGATTTGGTATATTTTGAATTTAATGTATTTATTTTATTTTTTATTTTATTCAACTTTAACTGGATCTAAACAAAAACACCAGAAAGGCATATGTACATAACAGGTGAACAAGCACCTCTACAGAGGCGTCTTACCACCGGAGATAGATCAATTAAAACTATAAAAATAAATACAAGTTGCATAAAAATAAAGATTTGTCCAATTTGCAAATAACAAAAAAAAAAAATTTGAATAGAAAATGTTCGTTATCTAACAACAGCCAGGGTGGTGACAAAACGAAATCCATGTGCAAATATTATCAGGAAGAAAATTAGATTTCAATTTAGTATTATAAAATTCAAGCACTTTGTTTTTGAAAGATGAAAAAGAAGAATCTGATTGATTTGCTAAAGGAAGGTTATCCCAGGCACTATTCGTTGAAAATAAAACGATTTATGGGATTTGGTTTTGCGTCGAGGGACAGATAAAATGAATGATCAGAAGAAAGTCTGGTGGTAGGACAGCCCTGTGAGTAATTAAAATGCAAATAGTCATCAATAGAAATTTCATAAATTCAAAAAAAACTTTTCTAAAAAAATAAGGAAATCTGTGATCTCACGCCTAAAAGACAACGGTAACAAGTCAAGATACGAGGCGTGACTTATAATCAAGGTCGGGATAGTGCAATATGTATTTGGTAGCACCTCTTAGTAATTATTACATTAATCTGATTTTAATTTATCATTCAATTTACTGTACAAATTGGAGTATGCAGACAATTATCAATAAGCCATCTTGTAGTTTAAGTGCACATGCCCTTGTAATGTAGTTGGATTTATATAGCACTTTTTACCAAAGTCTCAAAGCGACTGGGGTGTGGACTACCTCGTACAATAACTTGGTTTCTCCCTAGGAATCTCTTAGTGTCTGAGCTACCTGGTAAAACATTACCAGCTATCTCTTGTCTGTCCACAACAGGGGCTGTATGGACCAGTATTATGGGGTAACTCCAATACTTGTCTCAAAAGATGTACTGGTTTCATTAAAGTTCACATGAGCCAAATTGTGGGCAAAACTGGGCCTGAGGTTTATAGTCCTTATCCGAGAACACTTGTTCTACCACCTGAACCATTAGACAAAAGTGCCGTACAAACTAATGCCAATATTAATATTACTGTATGTAGAGGCATCCCTGCCAGTGCCAAAAGTCAAAGCTAAAACAAATATGGAGTATGTATAATCTGCATTTATAGGTTTTTGATAACAAAAATACCTCCATACCTCAACAACAGCAGAGCATTTGTATCCTGTTGTCAGCAAGAGTAATGTAACAGCCAATCAAAAAACAGAGAAATAGGAATACTAACATTTATACATCAATAAAAATGGATATGCAAGAGATCAACAGAGACAGGTCATTTTTACCTTTGCTTCCATACATTGCAGTTGTTGTTCCAACTTTTCCTTTTCCTCTCTTAGAAGTTTATTACTATCAGTGAGAACATTTAATTTTTCCAATTTGCTGACCAAATCTTCATGCTGTGCTCGAGTCTGAGCTGCAACCTGTAATAAAATATGTATATTTTCATGGTAATGTGCACCTAGTAAAAATTGTAAAACTAGGTATTAGAGAATATAAGGCCAAAAAACTAGGGTTCGCTGATTATTTGGTTTGGCAAGGATTAGCCCAAAATAATGGTTTGTGTTAGGCAACATAATTAATGACCAAATTAGTCACCAAAGTTGACATCATCACAATTTCGCCTAGTGGGTATTAAAGTTGTAAACATGCCCAAAGAGCTATGCTAATGCATTGAGCGGAGTCGAAAGTGGTATATTAAATCCTCTAAAATGTAATGAAGTTAGTATAGAAGATACTTTTTATAATAACGTATACATTTTGAGTTGATTTGATTTAAATTTCCATTCAGACTAAAAATATGAAGAGTTTTGAGAGGACTTTCTAGGGGCATAAGGCTATCACTTGGGCGCCTCGACACATCAAGCGCTGACTAGAGATCATCGTTGATTTAGCACATTCAGCTTAGATACTCTCATTAAGTCATTCTGTTGCAATTTCTGCATCAAATAGTTAAAAGTCTATTGGACAAACTTAAATTGCTGAATTGTAGAATAAGATATTTCTTTTGACTACGATGATCAGTGAGTCAGAAGAGTGTTGTTTGTATGACTCTAGTCTAGGCTAGGCCCATGTTCAAGCGAGGAGGTTATTAAAGGAATATTTACCAAGGCTTTTCGATAAAATTAGTTTACGATAATATGTGCAAATAAGTTTGAGAAGTTTGAAAACTATTAAAATTTATTTGAGTGGAGGCTTATCATTGTGTCTACAGCAGCTTTGTTTTGGTCACTAATTCGTTATTGTCTTTGGCCTACTTCAAAGCGACAGTACCAATACTCAGATGAATGAGGGCAATGCGGTTGTAAAATCTTCAATGAAGTGTAACATATTCCAGTATCTTCAAAGGGCGTTCTAAAGACAAATGTGAACAATCAGTCTAGCCAGGTAATTAATGACGACAGAATTGATCCCTATTGAGGCGTGGTCACTATGGATGGCCTTTTATATCATTTAAATTATTCTTCCAATACATCTGTTATTGGAGCAGAGGTGTTCGATAAACCAACCAATCATGCCGCTGTACAAAAAATACATCCCATAAAATCAATAATACATGAAGCTCTGAGTCTGAGACAAATATATATGCTTTGCATATACATAGGCATGATGTAATACAACACTAATGTAACAGGTTATTATGTATGCATGCATGTATTTATTACAAAAGTACAAAAACTATTATTAACTTCAAGCACACATACTGGATTTGAATTTCCTAAAAATACTCCATCAGCAATTTTAGTTTCTGTGGGCTATGGCTTTACTACAGCAATTTATTCTTCTTCTACAGCAACAATCCACATTTTTTACTGTTTTTAAGGGTAAAAACCGTGGCTTGGCCTATCCTGGGTTAAGCAACTCGACAGCTAAAAGCTTGAAGTCGATCCGGATTTCACCACAGCAGTTGGAAGGCCCTTTCTACAGCAATTTCTGTCAGACTCACATTACAGTAACACTGTTTAAAAGCTTAGGCCTACCTGTGATCGTTCTCGTTCATCCGTCAAGGCTTTCTGGGTCTCTTCCACCCTGCGCTCAAATAAGCTGCAGTTTAGTTTGAACCGAACACTTTCTGCCTGTACGACCTCAAAGCGTGTCTCCGCTATCTCCTTTTCTCGTCGCACGAAGCGGATAACTTCTAATAACTGCTCAACAGACTTATCCTCACTGAATGACATGTTGACGGCATCGGCAGCATCCTTTTCCTGCTCATTAACAAATTTACTTGACAACTAATAGGGAAATAAAAATTACATACCAGTTATACTCACAGTAAAACCAATTATAACAAATTAATCATCTTTAATACATACTATATAAATACAAACTAAGCTTGAGTATGAAGCTTAAGATCACACCAAGGTATTGAAGTGAATGTATGTACATTATAAAAGCTTTTGTTAATCTAAATTTAAAGCATATATCATACAATATATCCTTGAAGGCCCGAGGGAAGATAGGCAACGGTCTCCTTATCGCCGAGGTGCTATATATTTCACCGTTCCCTGAATCTAGAGCAGTCACTTTTTTTTTTTTATATACCTCATACATAGGTTCTACAAGACCTAAAAAAGTAATGATAATAGTAAACACCAAATAGGCCTAGGCTTACTTCCTAGGCCTAACCAATCGAAGGGCCAATCTCTCTCAGCGTTGTAGAGGTCGCGTCCTCTTTACTATTCGTGCATGTCATAAAATAGCAATGCGGCCTACAGATGGCACATCGTGTGACAGGGCAAAAAATACTATTTTTGAGGGGAATAGTACTTTCTATTGCTTCTTAACAAATGAGATTCTTAGAATCTATGTATAAGGTATATAATATTTGCTATTGCCTGCTTCTTAACCAATCAGATGCTTAGAATCTATGTATGTGGTATATAATACACTATAATATTTTCATCTGTCAGATACAAATATTTGATCAGTCTCATGTCAATATTAAATTAAAAGCCATGGGCAGAGATGTCAAACATTGACATTGTACTGATAGTGTAATATCAGATGTACTAGCTTGACTGAGCTTCATTTGCATATCCAGTAAAGGAGATTGCACATCAGTGGTGTATAGCTGTAGTTCTTTTCATGGTCAATTTGTGGTGGTCTAGGTAATAATAGTTGTACAAGTGCTGTCATCCCAACTATCATTTTATCATGACTTTTGATAAATCATATTGGCACCATATCTTGTGCTGTTTATGACTTGATTTAATATTCCAACTAAACACTTCACATTACTCACTACTTCAAGCTGTTCATGAAGCACAGCATTCTGCTTCTCTACATCTTGACACCTGGACTGCAGGCTAGAAACCTCTTCTTTCTGAATACGTAACTGTTCATCCCAAGAAATCTGTCAGGTGAAAGAGGAAGGCGATGAGAAACACAATAAATTGTTACAAAAGTAATCAAATACAATATCTGTCCTATCATTAAGGTTGACCATTTTTTTGAAAAAATATCCATTCTATTTTATAACACACCTAAGTAGCTCCTTGTCATTTGATTGGTGGATTTCGTATCACATGACATTGGTTATTTATACCATTTAGTGACTCATCATGAAAATGTATTTCCATCTGTCCATTTTTTGTTCCATTGCACGCCTCGACATCCTACACTGTTGTAGTTTCATCTGTGCCGCATATTCCAATCGTTTATTGCACACTTCAACCTAATACAATCTTTACGTTGGTTAGGAGACAATGAACTGTTTCGTTCAGAAAGTAGATGTAACTCACTCAAATGACAAAGATCTACTTTAAGTGTGATATAACACAAATAATGAATGTTTTGATTTGCTCAATGGAAAAAATAATTCCACTCGTTGAAAGATTGACTGTTCCACTTAACTAATGAAAATCTATAGTATTTTATAGGATTTGAACCATGAACCTTAAAGAAAGATGGAAAGCAACCTAACCAATAAAATACAGCTTCACCCCAACATAACTCACCTTTGAGGCATTCAGTGCATCCTCTGCTTTTCTACCTGCCTCTTGAGCCTCAGAAAGTTTGCTGTTGTAGCCTTCCAGCTGAAAATAGAAGCAAGTACTCAGATGTGTATATTTATTTCATAAAAAAAATTTAAAAAATATGCACAAGGGAGTCAGTTGCATATGGCTTTTGAGGCGTAACCACCCCTTTTTCCACATTTTCTTTCCTGTTTTTTAAATATTAAAAAATCCGTATCTCATTAACAGCTCACAAGTTTTTCGTAAAATATGCTTTTTGTGTCTTAGAAAAATGAGTTGTACAACAAACTAAAACAATTTATATCAACTATTTGACCCTAACCTGCTCCTTAACTGTCACCAGCTGTTGCAAATCAGCAGCATGTAGAAGAAATTCTCTCTCATATTTATCCTGACACTCTTTAGCCAGCTGGGCCTGGCTCTGGCAATCCTGCCTAGCGGCTTCTTCCCTACTCTGGGCCACGCTGCTCTTCTCTAGTGCCTCCTGCAGTTGGGTTTGGGCCTGGGAGAGTTTTTTGCGCAGTTCCGACGTTTGCTGGTTAACCAGTTCTTGCAGTTGGGTGCTTTGCAAATTCATCTCCGCCTTTTCTTTCTCAAGTTCTAGAATTTTCTCCTCCAGCTTTTGATTAGCTGAGTTAAAAAAAAAATACAATAAATATAACAAGATATAAACTTATCCCACCTCATTATTTACCAACTTAAAAAAGTTAATTTGTGTCGAAAATCAAACTATGAAGTTGTCATAACAACCATATTGAATCCTCTTGGATCTTAATCATAATGGGGATATTATATTTTTTAAACAATAAAATTTGTGAAAAACCAATTTTTCAACATAAATCCTCACCAACCCATCCCACCCTTCAATAAAAACATCTTCATCCAAATACATGGAGAGTTTACTCTAAACCAAATTTGATTTAATCTTGTTTTGTAACAAATACAATAAGACAATAAATGTATGCAAGGAAAAAGTATAAAAAAAACACATAAAAATCCTCTACTTAATCATAATCCATAATACCTTCAACCACTTCCTGATTTCTTCTTTCCATTGTTTCTTTAAATGTCTTTGAAGCATCATTCTGTTCTTTACAGCTCTGCTCAAAGGCTGCACTCATACCCTTGAACCTTTCTGCAGCTGTCTTTGAGTTTTGTAACTGTTCTTTAACACCTGCCACAAATTAAAAAAAAATAATAAAAAATTACAAAAAGTACACTACACATGCACCAAGAATCGTCAATAGCGAATATATCATTGTCCTACTTGTAGGTGAAAATCCCTTTCACTAGATAAACATTATACAAATGATGTGTTACACAAACTAAATCTTAATGTGAGGTTTAGGGGTGGAGTTGTTTTTGATCGTAAGAAAAAAATCCTGCAACAATGACAGGAACTGAATCCTAGGGCAGACTGCTATAAGCGGTCATTAGACGGTCTTACCGCTTTAATCATGAGCGTCACTACTGGTCTACGATTATAGACCAATGCTATACCGCTGTCTAACAGCTAGCCTAATTGAAGGTTTAAAACTGCATTAATCATTTTCATTATGGCGTTACAGGTACTATACCTAAGCCGAAGTCTAAGAATCGGAAGAAGAATATTACGCAAGCTTCACGGTGTCTAAACATTTATGTTCATTTTGATAAATATGCATGTTTTGAGCAAGCGCAAAAGCTCCCTCAATTTTATGTTAACAGGGAGTGCTTTTTTGCATTTCAATACTCAAAGCAGGGTAAGCGAAAACCGTTTTATAGCAATGGTCTTAGCAAAGTGATTTTAGTAAGACTGTCTTAGAAATAAAGCCGGCTTTATTTGAGGAGTTACTACCAGTTAAGATTAAAATGATTAAATGTATATCTCTTGAAATAATAAATAATATACAGTACACAATTTTTTCTTTGGTACAGTTCAACTTGCCTAAAGTCGAATCCAAAATGCCACTGAAATATTGTCCGACTTTGATAAAATTTGACTTACAGATTGTTAATTAATGGAAAACACAACAAAGTGGCATGTAAAATAAAATCGACTTAGAAATTATTCGACTTAGGCAAGTTTAACTGTATGCAGAAACAGCTGAATATTAAATCGTATAATAGGTCAAAATAAGCAGACATCATGTGTCTTGGAAAGTCTTGAAAACTATGTAATCTGAATGTATGTCCATACTACTAAGTCATTCGTCACAAAATTAAGGTATTTGCCATGAAAAACTTGACTCATAGATATACATAATAATTTTCATCAACAGCCCAAACATTTTATTGACAGCTAATTCCTAATTTATGCCATGATCAGGCAACTTACGTTTTAATTCTTCCTCAGATTGTCTGAGTTTAGCTGCCAGTCCTTTGAACTCATCAGTCTTTCCTGGTGCTTCTAAAAAAGAAATGTATTATTATTTATATAATAGGGCTATTGTCTGGGGAAAAATACATCCTGAAATCTACATCATGAAACTTTATTCTAGTAGTGAATTGATTAAAATAAAATTTACCTCCTCCAGAACCATTCTTGAGGGCCTGGTCAAGTTTGATTTGTGCTGCTGCTAGCTGTGCCTCGGCTGTGGAACACTAGACACACAAAAGAATACCGTTAAATCTTTGCACTAAATCAGCAGTCCTCCCACAATACCACTGTGCCCCCTCCCATTCTTTCATATCCTTCCCCTTCACAACCCCACTTCCATTTCCTCACACCGTCTACTCTTCTGCTCTCTTCACAATGTTGCTTCTACTTTTCCCTCCATACCTCACTACTCTTTAACAACTCTCTCTGTCTCAAAATCCTTTCCCTCTCTCATACCCTGAATCATTATCTGTCTATCAATATCCTTAAATTCATATGCTCCTCTCACGTCTGCACCTTTTCCACCACTTCCCATCCCCCCATACCCTTCCCTTTCCTTCACAACACCATTTCCTTTGCTTAACACTCTCCATACCCATTTGCTCTCTTCACAATCTTGAATCTTCTTCTCCCCTTATACCTCACCTCTCCCTTGACAACTCTATCTCAAAACCATTCCCTGCCTCATACCCTGCCTCATTATCTGTCTATCAACATACTTCACTTTATACTCTCATTCGCTTCTTGTCCCCACTCCCTCCATATCTTTCCCCTTTCTTTACAATTCCATTTTCTTTTCTTCACACCTTTCATACCCTTCTGCTCTCTTCACAGTTTTGCTTCTCCCGCCCCCTTCATACTTCACCTCTCCCTTGACTCTGTCTCAAAACCCTCCCCCTCCATCATACCCTGCTTCAACTCTGTCTATCAATACCCTTCAGGTTGTACTCTCCATCTGCTGCTTGCATTTTAAAAATTTTAAGGGTCCATATCAAATTTAAATAACTATATACAAAAAAAAAAAATGGTTTCGCTTAGTTGACAAAATGACACAAAAATGAAATACAAATCTGTTTCATTCCTATCTGTCCATTCCTTCCAGACATATCCATTCTGAATGGAAATAAAGTTGCATACCTGTTCCTTAATACTATTGAGGTCAGCGGTAGCATTGGCCAGTTTTTCTCTTGTTCCTTGATGGCTTGCCATTTCTTTCTTCCACTGCCCGTGTGCTTCTTCTAGTTGTTTCTAAATACAATTAAAATATTTTACAATACTTGTCCATAGTTATGTACTTATAATATATATATATATATGTATTCACAAGCTAACACTAGAAAAGACGTTGCAGTCAAAGTGGCAATAAAGTGATACACAAACTGGGTAATAAATAGGTATGTTAAGGTGAGTTATAAGTAGCTTTGAAGTAGCAGTTCACTTGTTGTAAGGCCTGGGTAGTATCTGTGAAAACACTCTTGTAATTAGTTACTTCAAAGACACTAGACATTTTACTTATTATGAAGTCTCAAAAGTAAGTGAGTTACTTCTACCTATACAAGAAATGTAAGGAATATGCGAACAGAGTAGGGCTGTGTAGACGCACGTAAATACTACCACTATTATGACCTTCAAAAGACAATTACCTACAAAAGTGCCATAACAAAAATTCCTGTGATGTGTAAGCCTTTGAATACACAATGTTTTCATAATTGTTTGCAATTTCAAGGATTCGTGAGCAAAATCATTGTTGAGAGACAATGAAATTGGCGATTATCACTTCCCCAGAAAATCTGCATAGTAACTTCTAAGCTTTCAACTAACTTTGAAGAACATCATGCCTTGGTAAGCATTGGGTGGACAACTTGTCCAAAGTAACATGCGCATAAAATTTTACATCTGTCGTAACTTCACTTCAGATGGAAGGTTGTCTGAACGTAAACTGTGTTTTACACCACAAACAGATATATTCTGTACATTATTATAAAAGTTTGCTTTTTTAAGCTCAAAATACAGTGCCTACTTATTAAACAACACATAATGTTTCAAAGCTATATACAATGTGTATCTACTAAATGGTTTTATCTTCAACAAGGCCTTCTTTCACTATCAACGCAATCATTGTTATCAAATCAAAGTAATCTTAGGCGCTTCATAAAATTGGTAAAATTACCTCCCATGATTTGTTGGATGCCTGTTGGTTCTTAGACTCAGCTTCCAGCTTTCCCTTAAGCGTGCTAATCTCTCTGTCCAGACTCTCTATTTTATTGGTCATCCTGGCTTTTTCCTCAAACTCTGATCTCTCCAAGTTGTTCTGGAACAAATAGAACAAAATAACGGTTATGAAAAACACACTGCAAGTTGATGCTAAGCACCCATACGTAGATATAAATAATTATTGATAAATATGTTCAAACTGAATAAATAGTTAAAGAATCCTAAAGGGCATAGAAAATAACAACACAGTAAATAACTACAATAACAGATAGCATGTGATAAATATACATTTGGTAGGTATACATATGCTAAATCAAATCCCAATTACTGTATATCTAAATTTTACTGTACCTTGATTGTTTCTAGGTTTGCAAGCAGAAGGTTCTGTCCCTGGTGCTCTCTCATCAATGCATCTTTTTCTTGGCTAAGCCTCACCTCAACGCCCTTCAACATATCTCGCTCTGCTCTCAGGTTTTCACAGGACACTTCAGCTCGCGACAGCCTTTCTTGGAAAGCAAGTTGATCCTGGGTTGGAAAATAAATTAGTTCTTAATTAAAATGTAAATGTAACTTAAGTGTTCTAAAATACACAAATGCAAACACTTTTAGTGCCATTCAAAAATACTAGTTAACTGAGGTGACCATCAACAAAAGGACAACATATTTTGAACAATGAAAGCAATATCTTGGAGAGCCGTATATCAGGCCATCTAGACGTAAAAGCACAAGTATTAACCTACTTCATTCCCACATGCCATTCTGGCTATCTAAAGCACTCATTAATATATTTATTAATGAGAAACTCCAATGTGAAACAAGAATGGAAGACTTTTCTTGTAAGGTCCTTCTGGTGGTGGATTGTATTATGTAATTATATTTTTATATTGATATTGTATTTATACTGGCATTAAATTAATTATTAGTTAAGGTTACAATTTTATATATTTTTTCATTAATACTTTATTTTAAAAACACGATTTATTTTTGTAAGTATCAATTTTTTGTACTGTGCTTTAAAATATCATGCAATATCATTCAACTTATGCTGCCAATTAATACACAATAAAATTGAATTTAACTGACAATCCTCTGCTATATTGACTGCACATAATATGACCACTGACATAAATGTTTTCTTAAAGACTGTGCGTTGTTTTAACTTGTATTTCAGCCACTTAGCTGAAAAACAAGATGACCAGCAAATAAATAGAACCAGGTACCATCAGTCTGAAAGGATCTCCATGGTTTAAAACTGCCCACATTTTCAAATTTTCTTTAACAAAAAACATGTTATATGCCCATATATAGTCATGATGTGCCTATATATGTGGCAAAGACAAGCCAAACCAGTCACTCGTCGCAAATCGTGTTTCAGAGAAAATGGTCAAAACATGCTGGAATGTCAAATTTTTAAAAATCTATTTTAGTGCACTAAAATAACCTTTATATATCTACACTTCATTCTATGCTGTTATTTTCCCCATTTTGAATGTTAAAACAACACTTTTTAAGAATTTAAAGATATTTTCTGCATGAGAAATGCCTGCATAAACTTTGAAGGCCGATTTCTCATATATTGTTCTTTAAACAGCTGTGTGGTTAAACGCTTGTAACTTCATTAGGAAATGTCCGATTTGAATGATTTTTTTACCATTTTATAGCTATTATTTTACTCTCTAACAGTTATTAACTTAAAATCAAATTTTGCGACAAGTGACTGGTTTGGCTTGTCTTTGCAACATATGTTCACAATGACGATATTTAGGCATGTCGCGTGTTTTTGGCAAATAAAATGTACAGGGCTTAAGACACGAATACTGAATCTCCCGCCAGGCTAGCTGACTGCGCTAAGCTGCTTCTCCATTTTTCCCCAGACAAAAATCTATTGAGGAAGCCTGTCACAGAGGCTACAATTGTATAGCTTGATAAAAAGCAAGGTAAGCACTTACTTGAGTGAGGCTGTTGATAGTCTGTTGTAGCTTAATAGCTTCTGTGCTGTGTTTCTGAGCCTTGTCCCTTAGACCAGCTATTTCCTTTTTGTAACCGTCGATGTTGCCTTGTAATATCTTGTAACGTTCACTGGCGAAATCAAGCTGAAGAATATGAATTATCATGTTAGTGAACAACAACAAATAATATATTAAGTTATTTGAACAAGGGTGGTTAATAATAGTTATTCTCAACTGTTGGCTGATCATTAGCTATCAATGAATATAATAAAAAGCTTTACATTATCTAATCCATTGAGTCTGGACTATATACTGTACATACACATTTATTGTCTCACTAAATTTTGTTGTCATAAGAAGGTGCTACAGCACTTACTTAATTTGTAATTCATGCTACTGACTAATACGGCTCCAAAAATATATCTAATAATTCTTTTCAAATAAATCATAGTTATCAAAATAAATTAAATTGAAATTGGGAATGTTTTAAATTTAAAAAAAAAAAAAAAAAATAACCTTGATTTTCAGTTAATCACAATAGATTAAATAGTTATTAGAAGAAATAAATATTCACAGTAATTTATTATTTTAGAGAACCAAAACAACTCAATGGATCTAAATTGAAATGAGGATCTGATAAAATCTCAAAGGTGTTCATGTAACCAGGAGTCGGAGGAATACTACAGGGTCATAATGAATGCTACTACCGTATTTACTCGCGTCAAAGACGATCCACGTATAAGAGGACGCCCCAGTTTGAGAAGAATTTTGAACAATTTTTTTATGTTGGGCATATAAGACAACCCTGGTTTTTTCGAAAGGTGTTAATATATTCGAGAGTCAGAGAAATACAGGATAATAATGAATAATGCTACTACCGTATATACTTGCGTCAAAGGCGATCAAGATTTTGGACGATTTTTATATGTTGGGCATATAAGACTACTACCGTATATAGTTGCGTCAAAGGCAATCAAGATTTTGGACGATTTTTATATGTTGGGCATATAAGACAGGTTTTCGATCGTAACTTGCTAGTTTAAGCCTTGTTTTACACACAAGTATATACGGTAATCGATAAGTTGAAGTACCTGTGAGGCTAGCTTGGCGTTTTGAACCCTGAAGTCAGAGGCTTGAGTTCGCAGCGTCTCCAGTTGTTCATTTAGTAACCTGTAGAGAAAACATTCAAGTTAAAGGTAAAGAATACAAAATTTTGCAATTAACTTCATAATTTAAAAGCTATTTACATACTTTTTGTCACATGATCACAAATTTTTTTGAGATCATGTGACAGCAGCTCCTTCATCGCAGACAACAAACCTTTCCGCTAAGCCCCGCCCCTTGGATATTGTTGCTAAGGGGCAGCATGCACATATTATTGGCCCTGTTCTGATTGGTTAATTGATTGACTGACTCATGGAAACGTCTGTCACCTTAAGATACTTGAGACTTACTTTTCATTTTCATTCTTTTCGTTTCTATATGTGTCAAATTCTTCTTTCAACTGTTTCAGTGCAGCAGCAGTGTCATCGGAGGACTGTCTGGTCTTTTGCGGCAAGCCGGGACTCTTCTGGGCGGCAGTTGTTGCTGATGGGGTAGGCACAGACACAGAAGCATCACTGACACTTACCTATATGGAAAAGACACTCAATTAGTTAGTTTACTTTATTTTTATTTATTATTATTATATTATTATTTAAATTATTATTTATTAAAACTTTAAATCTCACATAAAACTTACAGAATAGGTAAAGAATAAATGAAAATATATAAATATATATAAATGTTGAAGCTCAAAAATACAGAAATCAGAAAAAATTAATGAACAAATAATAAAACAACAGGCAAAAATAATACTCCAATGAAACAATCAATAAAATCATTAACAAAAAATGTCAATAAAAAAGCGAAACAATAATGGCAATAAACATATGACAAACTTTCGGTACACCATGTGTAATAATGGCAATAACATGAAAAAGCATAATGGGCAGTCACTGATGGTGACTGCGAATTAGGCTTTTAAAGATGGTTGTAATAAAAGAAATAAAATAAAAACACTAAGTGAAAACAACTTACCGGTGGTGGGGTGCCTGTCTGTGCTAAAAGCACACGGTACATATCACGCTGGCGGACGATTGATTCCACCATCTGCGTCTGCCGTGACCTGGTGTCACGCATTTCAGAGAGCTCTTGGACAGCTTTGTCGAGTTGCAATTTCAATTCAGAAGTCCTTAAAAACAATTTAATTGAAGGAAATATATATTGTCTAATCTTTCATTAAAAAAAAAAAACAAACAAAAAAAAACAGCAACTACAATAAGAACTGTAACAATTACATAAAACAAAAAGTGAAAAAATAATGAGATCTAACATATATAATATAATAATAGTATTTCAAATCCCTAATTTTCAAAGGTTCTAGGGGCTATGTCTCCTGGAGCCTCTACAACAGGTTCTGAGCAGCATCTGGTTTCGCCCACCAACACTTCTGTTGGGGACATTGGGGACACTAAACTCTACTTTCGAAAAAATCCTGGTGCTACCACTGAAACATAATTGGCTGAATATGTTTCTCCAGGAAAATATTCAAAAAATACATATTTCTACACCTGAACAGAATATTATTATTTTGAAAAACTCACTTTGACTCAATGGTCTCACGCTCTTCTTTTTCCTTCTTTTCTGATAGCTCACGAACGACAGCCAACAATCTCTCATTCTGTTGCTGCAGCTCAGTGATATTTCTGCAAAAAAATAATTAATATTGTTATATTTATTAAGTAGTGTTTTATATTTACATTTTATTAAGCAGTGTTTTATATTGGTATATGTTTGCTTCCTTATTCAACAGTTTTATTCACCAATTTTCAACAAGACAAGAGTTTTATTTTGTTTACAGTTATTGGTGGCAGTATTCACACACCTGTGAAATTACTACTACCAACTACACAGTGACACGTCACATCAATCCTATTACCTGAACTGAGAAGGGCCGAATAGGCCGAAACAATTTTTCAAGGTAATAACAAAAGTTCTTCATTTATTTTATTAAACAACAGCACCTCCTTTCATATTACTTGAATCATTATGTGGCTGTACCGAACGTACAAAAAGTAATGTATTGTTATAGATGTACCTTAAAAATAAAATAACTGATGGGACAGGCCATGTACATATATATACCTACACATTAAAAATAAAAAAGACTGACCTAAATGACACCAGATGTTCCGAGATGACCTGTGATGAACTGGAAATGTCACTTGATGACACCGTCCCATCCGTATCTGTCACATGAGTTCCATTCGCCTCAGCCGTCTCCTTGAGAAGGGCACGAATCTATGGTGCGAAAAAAACAACAGACTCCTAACTTGCAAGATGGAAATGGTGCACTGCAGTAGTGTAATCTAAGTGTCACAAGATAGTTTGCTTGTTTCGCTCACTTACCTTCTAGTACATTAGCGCCTGGATTAGTTTTTTGATAAAAGAGAATTATTCATGACCACTAAAAGAAGATAGGGTGAGTGTTGCATGTTAGCTCATCCATTATTTCTTTAGATACATGTCAGAAATGCAGTGTTTAGATCCTGTTGCATAATTCAAAAAGCACGCTTCACGGACATTCAGTTTTTGTCAAGTTCCCCTGTGATTAATTGTAACTACGAACAATGTGTATTCTTATATCGCCGATAATTTGTTATCAGTAGGTTTAATGGTGGTAAAAAGTTTAAATCCCATCGATTTTTAGACGTACGTCAACCTACGTCTTTGTAAAGGACCTTGTCATTAATTATGTATAAACAGTCTGTTAACTTTAGCTTACTGTTGGAAATGTTCATTGTATACAGCAGTTGGTATGCAGGTTAACACTAAAAAAAAAAACAGTGACCCGAACCGTGTTCATTATGTATGAATGGTTGAAGCCTAACTTGGTTGTTAAACAATTAGCTCAATGGTGCTCTGATGCTTGTTATGTAAAGTCTAAGTATAATTTGACGTTAATTCAAGTGCAGTTTAAGTCTTTGTCATACATATACAGAAAGACAATGAGATGGATGGGCCAAACCTCTTCAGCCCCACCATAGTTGGGGCTGATGCACAACATTTTATGACCATGGCAGTTCTTGTTGGCTGTGTGTACAATTCGTATATATTGTTATAGTATATGAAAACATACCTGTCTGGACAAATCACCTGCCTGTTGTTGTAGTCGGCGATTTTCCCTCATCATCTGTGAGGCTTTTCTTTCTGAATCATCAGTAGCAATTCTTAACTGCTCACATTCCTTTAAAAAAAAATGATTATAAATCAGAGATATTGATTACCAAAATAACCTTACCTTACTTAAGAAACAGGGACATTTGCTGCTAAGAAATAAGCAGGCAGGGACTCCTTTACAAAAATATCACCTTGGCAGTGTAAAAGGGGTATTAGTGTGTCAAGCTATGGCTGGACAAAATTTAGTGTTGTACATGGACTCAATAAGAAGACTCCTATAAATACTGGAATCTGCTTGTAAGCATTGTTCCACTGGTAGCTGTACTGCAGAAACTTGTTTGAATCAGGTTATTTTAATAAAGTAAATAGGCCTTAAAATTGGTTACTGGTTACTTGTATAGTGCTTTCCTCGCAGTTTAGATTTTCTATGCCATATTGGTGCAGTAGCAGGCAACCCCACCGGGTACCCGTTTATACTCCTGGGTGGAGAGCAGCAATGAAGATGAAGAAGTGCCTTGCTCAAAGACACAAGCGAAATGCAAAGCGAGGGATTGAAACCCCAACCTCAAGGTTAGGGAAACCCAAATGTTGCCGCTGACTAAATAAGCAATTGTAATATATACTTAACCACATATAGTTTCTGATTCTTCCATTTAATTTCTTTAGGCACAAACGCCAAGGATATGCCAATGTCCTAGGTGGCATGTCCATTTAACAACAGGGGACATAATTGACCATTACACCGGGGAATCCCCCTAATCTTCTCGAAGGATGTACTGGTTTCTTTAAAGTGCACATGAGCCAAATGAGTACAATGGGTCCTTATCAGAGATGACTAATTCCATCACCAGAACCATTGGCGAGTTAGCAGTTCGAACCAGCGCCGATATTAGAGCTCAAGGTTACGGTGCCCTTGACTTAACTGCTCAGAAAATCGACTTGCTTTTCTGAGAACAGTGCTTACCAGGAGAGCCTTGTCTAATTTGATGGACAGCATTTCAGTTGTCTGTAAAGAATTCTCATAATCTTCTCGTTGTTTCTGCAACACAGGTGCCTTCTCTTCAATTTCCTGTAAGAGGTTCAATAGGATACAAGGTCAATCATTTTAAATCCAAAATATTTATTCATATATTAATAATTCCATTATTATTAGCACAGATGTAGTAAAATATTTATTTATATATTAATAATTCCATACTTATCAGCACAGATGTAGTAAAATATTTATTTATATATTAATAATTCCATTCTTATCAGCACAGATGTAGTAAAATATTTATTTATATATTAATAATTTCATTCTTATCAGCACAGATGTAGTAAAATTTAAATGATACACATTATTTTTATTTCCTGAACCTAATAAATTTCCAGAATAGTAGTGGCTTAGTTATCCTTTCCAAGATATATACTGTCTTAAGGTGCTGTTTGAAGTATGTGGACTCCAAATAATTTAATTGAATGTACCTTTTGGCATAAATAATTTTGGAATCTTTTTATTACCTATAAAGATATCAAAGTCTTACCTTAGAAAATATTTTCAAATGTCCTAAAAAATAAAAGGAAAAATCTAAAAACAAATTATATACCTCCAGAATTTGGTCAAGGTAATGATTCAGTCGTTGATTTTCTTCAGTTGTTTGTTGCAGTGTTTCCGTACTTTTCACATACTCACTATAAATCTAACCAATGAAAATCACAAATTTCATTTAATTAAAGAAAAATGACAAGGGATTGGTCCACAACAATAAACCAGATAAAAAGAAAAAAAAACATTAATTTGGCCACAATAGCATCAGTTACCACACAACCCAGCAGTGGTGGTACCAGGCACCCCACCCAATCACATGATACCATGACGAGGTAATCCAAGAAAAAAAATAATTTGACTAGCTATCCAAATAACATTATTTTGATTGCCAATATTGTGGTATAATTTGAGCTACACTACTGTAACATAAAAACACTCCCAGAAAGTTCAATATCTAAATATAAAAAAATCTCAATTTCTAGGCTTAAAACGACGAATGGTAGGATTTATACATGCTTATAAACAACAAATTACATGCAATACAGGTTGTTTCGGCAGAACACGGATTGTTTTGTAAAAAATCACAAACAAACCAGCCAATGAACAATTGGTGATTAGTGATTGAGCGCTACGCTAAGTTAATAGTGTGAAAAATTGAATTGATGTAGCCTCATAACAATAAACCTATACCTTAAACTAAAGATCCTTTTTGAACTGGCGCTGTACAAATTTCCTATTTATTGTTATTATTCTTATAATTATAATTTTAAGGCTCAATACATCTGATGGCAAAACTAACCTCAGTTAGAGTCATTCCAGGCTTCAAGAATTTGCTGGCAGCAGCTGCAGTCGGGGACAAGTTACTTAGCTCCTCCTCACTCAAAGGAGGTAACCCTACCAAAAAAAAAAATTATTTGAATGGTTAGAGTTTTATCGATGAACAACAATTAATATACAACAAAAATACCTGAAAGTAATATCTCTTTTCTTTTTATCAATTAAGTGTAATACCAGTTAATAGAAGAAAAATCTTAAAGCCAGGCTTTAAGATTTTTTTCTATTAATATCAGTTAATAGAAGAAAAATCTTAAAGCCACGCTCCTTGGGTGTGGGGGGTGGGGGGTGAATGTTAATATATTTACAGAGCATTTGACACAAAACTTAAGATACTGATTTTCGAATATTTAAACACAGATGGGTGGTTAGAGTGTTGCTATTTTACAAGAATATATAAAGATTTTGGAGTGTTTTTGGAGTTCTTTTTGAAGTTTTTCATGGCTTTACACTTACCAAAGTATGTGTATATGATTCTTAACATGAAAAATTGTAAATCTTAATTAAAGATCATAATGTAAACACAGTAAAAAGATACTAGGACAGAGAAAGTTCAGCCAAATTAAAACGCCCTCAATTTACTTTTCTTCTTTGCTGCCGCCAACAGATCATTTGCATCCTCCAGCTCTCGTGTAAGTGTATTCAACTTCGTTTCTACATTAGAAAACAAATTAAATGAACAAAGGTTTAACAGCAAAATGATATCATGATGTAAGTGGAGGACAGCGCAGGTCAAGTAACTGCAGTTTAGGACCAAATCGGTCTCCTTTTTTGCTAGATTTGCCAACAGACTTGTTAGTCCTTTGCAAAAACGTTTGCTTTTCAGTAGCGCAGAATATATAAAAATATATAATACTATAAATTGCAATAATAAATGTGGAAATGTACCGAATACTCATAGTGATCTGGAGATCGTGGGTACGAGTCCCACCCGAGAACAACTTGCGATTTTTTTCGCAGTTGTTTTCAAATGTACTGAGTATTCGGTACATTTCCATGTCAAGTAGGGCAAAAATTACACCTATACATGTTTCTCCTGACGCAAATCCAGTTATTGTCTATTATTCCATCACGACTAAAACAATTACTATCAAATCAACAGTAATCAATAAAGATTATTATATAATATTTATTATTATTAAGTTCTGTAGACCACATTTACTTTACTTACGAAGCTCATATTCCTGTTCATCTTTAGCCTTTTCAATTTCAGAAATCTTATTCTCCAAATTAGTATGGGCTTCGGTAGCCTGCTTCAACAATTTTTGGAGCTCTTCAACGGCCCTGATCAGCTCTTTTACTTTTCCTTCTGATTCTTCAGAAGAGGCCTAGAAAAATTCCAATTCACTTTCAGTTATTCATTGACTACAGCTGGGTTTTACAGATAAATACATGAAGAGAAATTCTGGCTTTTTTTTTTCAATTATTTATTCTTAAGGCCCTTGGATATGAAGGCCTCCAAATTTAATTCATCAGACTGATCTAGGCCTACCTTATATAAGCTGGCTAATTTACTCTGTGACTGGATTTCATTGTGGAACAACTCCTCAGACTGGGCTTGAGCATCAGAATTCTGCAAAAGCAAACATTTTAGTCAAAGTTGAAACTAGTCAAAACTTATTACTAAAAAGAGATAACTTAATGTTGCACAGAAATCAATAAATAATGAATGATTTGCAACATTCTTGAGAAAATTACTTGTGAAGGTCTGGTAGTAAAATTCATACTTCTCACCTCTTTTATTTTTTGAATCAAACTCTCAATCTTTTTGGTCTGGTCAGAGTTTGTTTTCTTTAGTGATTCGTTGAGGTCCGTCAAGTGCTGGACTTCATCCGTCATACTGGTCACTTTTGCTTGTAGCCCCAGAACCATTTCAGACTGTAATTATGATGTAATAGTTTACATTTATTTATATAACACCTCACATTGTGTACATTACAGTTTATTTGAGATATAATGGATTCAAGTTTTATAGGACCACAGAGATCTAAGAACATACAATTCCCATTAATATATGTCTATTATTGTCATTTATTATTTCTAATTATGAATTGATCTAATTATTTTTTAATCCATCAATGTTTGGTAAAAAATAATATGACTACAAAGCAAAACATGATATAGACTTTAATAATTAACTTACTTTTTCTTTCTTTACAGCAAGCAAATCATTTGTCTTGGTTTTCAGTTCTGTGTTGAGCCATTCATTTTGAGATGCAAGTAGTTGCTTCTCTTGCTCCAGTCTCTTCTCACGATACTAAAAACAGGAAGTGATCAATTAGCGAACATGCATATGCCTAATGTGTGTTGCCTGAACTAACAGTTTTTTAAAAACCTTTACAAAATATTTATTAAGGTTTAAAGTGTTATCCAATGCTATTTTTAAACTTTTTGAAGTATTTTTTGGGTGTAAATTTGGTGTCTATTTGTAGTGTTTCTTGCATCTTGATGATTTTTTTTTTGTAGGTTTGATGAGGGTTTTTGTAAATAAGTATTTACGGAGGTTTAAATGGTTATCAAAAGCTATTTTTGATCTTAATGTTTACGCATTGCCCAGCAGTGGCTCAGAAATTTGCCAACAGAGAGTGTGAAATGTGCGATGCGGGGATGTAGCTATTTTTTAATGAAGGACCTTGTGGCAGGATGGGGGTTCAGGTCTATCAGATGGGGGCGTAATCCCCCTTGTGCCCACTGGCGCCACCACTGGTTTGGTGACTATAGAAGTGTTTGTGAATTGTTTCTCTTGTATATTGATGCAGTTTTTTTTTTTTTGTAGGTTTGATGATTTTTTTTTGTAATTAATGTTCATTTTCCTTTATGAGAGTAGAAAAAAAAACACAAATCTAACCATGTGGACCTGGCTTTACCTTTGCAGACATGTCATGGCTCTGAATCTCATCAAGTTTAACCTGAGCCTCAACTTTCTGTTGGTTTGCTGTTGCTAATTTTTCTGTTAAGTTTTTCCAATCAGCTGAAAAACAAAAAAACAAAAAAAAACCAAACATAAATCTTTTTTGTTGTGCTTGCGTCAAGAAAATAGCGGATTTAACACTAGTCACTAAGCGCAAGCTTGGTGGTCTAGTGGTTACGACACCAGGCTTGTTGTCTAGAGGTCGTGGGTTCAATTTCCACCCGAGTCACCTTTTTTTGCAAGTATTTGAGAACGTTCTAAGTATTTGGTATAATAACATATCAGGCAGGGCAAAACATCACTCACTTTACATATTTATTTAGTTCAGAACCTAATTTAAACTCAAGCTCAACTTGAAAAAAAAAAAAATTATAAATAAGTCCATTGTTTGTAATTTTGTCACATTGGAAGATGATTCTTTAAATATGATTTATAAATGTTTATAAATGAGCAATCCAATTTTTTGCAATTAAGAAAATTTTCACGATTTTACAATAAACATAATATAACATTAAGTATAAATCTGTAAAACTATGAAATATGCAGAAATGAACAACATGCATTGCAAACTTTGAAATGTTCCTTACCATTGAGTCTTTCAAGTTCCACATTCTTGCGTTCCAGGGCATCCAGTAAGTCTTGCTTTTCTGTTTCAAGGTGATCATTGGAACGACAGACCTGCTGGTGGGTGATCTCAATTTTATCGCGAGATGATGTCACTTCTTTCAATTCCTCTGTCAAATCTTTCACTTGTTTTTCTGGAAAAAAAAAAAAAAATAACAGACCATAAAACAGCTGCTATGTGACAGAGTTTATTCGTTTACAAATTGGCTGTTGGATGGCAGGGCTTAATAAAATGTTTGTAGGTTGCAATGAATTTATGGAAAAACAGATTATGGGATCCCATCATACCTTCATTATTTCTCTACCTTGCAAACCTATATACTTTATATGTAATAGTATGAGCATACCCATCACATTTTAAAACTTTAGCTTCCTTACGTAGGCTACTGGTCAACAAAACACTTCGGAGGATGTTTTGGAGGAATAACACTTTACAGTAATACAATATGCTACCCAATTTTGAATGATACTTTTTGAAAGAGGGGCCAAATATCAGTCTACTGTATGTAGCAATTTTCAACCTTTTATCTTTGTGATTCCAGATGATATATCTTCTTAAAAACCGTAAAAATTTTAGGAGTCTTTACCAGAATGAAAAAGGGGCGTGGTAACAACATTCAAAAAAGATCATAACTTAAAAACCACTTGGAAATTGGAGCTGCAATGTTGGATCCTTTCCTTAGACATATCAAATCAATCTATTCCATCCTCAATCTTCACTCACCGAATTCAACATTTTCTTTTTTCAGGTGACTAGCAGAAGAAGCTTCCGACTGGAATCGGCCCTTAGCTGCAATCAACTTCTTTTCAAGTTCAAAGTAGCGTTGCTCTGTTGAATAAACCATTGAGATGTTATGTGAAGAAATGAAACACTGTAAACAATAATAACTGTTTGTAAGTCTTCAGTTTATTTAAAATATATGCCTAGGTCAGATTATAATTACTTTCTACTATCATGTAACAAATATTGAAAAAAAAATTCTATGAATGTGGTCAGAATGCATTGTAGTGCTGTACTCTTGCTCTCTTCATTTCCTTCCCTTGTGTATGTTTTGAATTTGTATTCTGAATCTAAATCTATACTGACAGAGGACCCCACTAGGGTATATGCGTAAGTGTGCGTCAACGATTTGCAAATATTGTAGTATAATAATAATATTATTATATTATTCGAAGTCAATGCAAGAATATAACACGTGATTCTTAGCAGATTCTGAGGTTTAATACGTATACATTTACTGTCAATTAAAACGTGCTATTTCAAAGGATGTGTGATCCTGTATGATCAACTGCTCTGTATCACGATTGACATAAACAACAAAGGAACTAACAAGCGCGTAAAACAGGTGATTAATTTGATACATTGAAGTGCTACATCAATGGGTATGTCCTGTCTCTTATACACATCTTGTGAAGAAATGAAACACTGTAAACAATAATAACTGTTTGTAAGTCTTCAGTTTATTTAAAATATATGCCTAGGTCAGATTATAATTACTTTCTACTATCATGTAACAAATATTGAAAAAAAAATTCTATGAATGTGGTCAGAATGCATTGTAGTGCTGTACTCTTGCTCTCTTCATTTCCTTCCCTTGTGTATGTTTTGAATTTGTATTCTGAATCTAAATCTATACTGACAGAGGAACCCCACTAGGGTATATGCGTCAGTGTGCGTCATCGATTTTCATTTATTATAGGTGTTAATAAAATAATAGATTTATTTATTAAAAGTATATCTGACTGGTAAATGATTTTGCCAAAAAAGGTAAATAATTTGGATTGCTTCTTCAAGAGGGGGCTCCAACAACTGATGTCGAGGCAGCGTCGCTTTCACTAGTGTGATGCAGAAACACACCTTTAAAAACAGCGCCTTTAAAAAATCAGGTCGCAAATGCGACCAAATAACCCTTAATTTCAAGCCCTGATACGGCTGGCCATGTTTGTTCAAACTGTTGGCCCATTCATGATTCATTCAGTTCAGTTTACAGTTTAAAAAAAAAAGAAATGCACATTAATTAATCAGTCAGGGCAGGAGCAGGTTAATCTAACTTAACTGGAACCTAGCTCAAAAGGGCTGTCCCCTCCTAACTAGCTGGCCCAGCCAGGCTTATACCCGATTCACACGTGAAGTTAAATTTAACAAAAAGTAACAAATTGTAACCGAGCGATCTCCCGAGTTATTCCTACCGAGATAAAAAGCATTCACACGCGTCTGTAAGGTAATGCCAAGGTTGTGTAAAATTTATTCAGTGTTTATTCAATGAACCATTTTTCCCCTACTGCGATATAGGTCTAGCCTAGGCCTAGTTGAGAACCCCTGTCACAGATGGACTGTTGAACTCACCATCGCAGTAAACATTCGAAGCAATCAATACCCTTAACTGCTGTACTACTACTTCTAAACTAGGCATAGCTTCCAACGTTTCTGTCGACTCCTGTAATACTAGTAATAGTACTAACACCATCCCGACGTTCATTTTATGTATATCTTCTTCTTCTACCATTACTAATTAACATCAATAACAAGGGTAATTCATTCATCATTGAGAAAAACTAGGCCTATCTATTTCTAGTGGATCAGAATCGTATTCAGAAGGAAGAAAATTCAAAGAACCCCGTGAAACAGCAGATTGTTGTTGTGTTGAAATCCCTGCGCATGCGCAGATCCATCCATGTTACATCTCGGAAACTTTACCAGCCTCGCTGAGGCTGGTAAAGATTACCGAGACGTTCCGAGATTTTACAAGGATATTACACGGAGGTACTTTCACACGTGCCGTAAAATGTTACTTTTGGTTACATTTTGTTACATTTGGTAAGATTTTTGTACGTGTGAATCGGGTATTAGTTAGGGCCTAGGCTAACTATAGCTAAGGCCAAGCTAGGCCGAGGGTAGACTAGGCACTACCCTAGCACCTAGGCCTAAAAAGATATTTGACGGACTACTACTAGCCTAGGCCTAGAGGCTAGCCTAGGCTAGGCCTAAACGTACCGTAATCAATGCGAAATTTTTGAATTTCAGTCTTCAGGCCGTCGGCTATTGCTTCTTTTGAGCAAAGAGTGCATTCAAGTTTATTTCTAGCAGTTTCGCTTATTTTATCCAACTCATTAGCCTCTAAAATAGAAGCTAACACACTCCCACCACATTCGGAAACCGCCATGTTTCTGAATAAAAAATTAATTCTTCCTTAGGCTAAGCCTAAAATATGTTTACAAGTTTATTAAATTTTACATGAAATTAAAGTATAATTAAAAATCAGTATTTTAATAAGTTTTTAAGATTTTCCTTTTGTAATAATTTATATTTTAATTGGGCAAATGGTTTCTTTATGAATAATAATTTATAATAATGTTTAAAATATAAAATAAATGAACTCTTAACCTTTAAAATGGCTGACACAAAACATGAGATACGAAGTATCGCGAGATATTTTAGGGTTGAAAATGTAAAAGTAAATATTAACAGTGAAACAAAGGTAAAATTAATAATGATAAAAATCCAAATTTTCTATGTACAAACTATGGGCTAAAGCCTATGTAGGATATATTGGAACCATGATTTAAGCCCTAGTACTAGGAGGCCTAGCCTAGCTAGCCTAGCCTAGGCCTCGTAGTAGGCCTAGGCCTAGGCCTCTCTAGAGTAGGCCCTAGGCTAGTACCTAGTAGTAGTAGTAGGCTAGGCCTAGAGGCCTAGCATAGGCCCTCCCTAGGCCTATCCTACTAGGTTAGGGCCTGCCTAGGCCAATGCCTAGTAGCTGGTCCTAGGCCTACCTTTCTTTAGTTTACTTCGTGTTTTTTTTTTTTTTTTTTTTGTGTGTGCTATGTAATTTCTGCCAGCTAGGAACAAGCAGGCTGCAGACTGCAGTGGGCGGCTTCTAATAAAGACTAGGCCCTAGTACTAAGTAGGGTAGAGTAGGGGGCCTAGGCCTAGCTCAGCTGTATGGCTCTCAGCCTAGGGTAGGCTAGCCCTCCCCCTCCTAGGCCTAATATGTCCCTTACGAGGTCTCGTCTCAGTCAGGGCCTATCCTACGTCTTAGAGTTAGGGATGGTTAAAATAAAGGTGTTTTTTTTTGTTTTTAGTTAGGCCTCATAGGTTTTTATTTTATTTCCAAATATTTTTGAATTGCAGTCATGTGCCGACTGAATGGGGTGTCATCTGGGAATCCCTGCAAAATCTAGGATGTCCAGTTACGTTACACCCCCTCCCCCATCAAGATTGACATGAAGTAAAGAAAATTTGCGTTGATACCGAGCATTGAGCAAAAAAGACATGCAATTACAAGGAACATACTGTTGCGTGGAGGATATATCAACAACAAGGCCTAGCCCAAATACCACGTTTCCAAAGACCCAAATGACAATCTTCAACCATTTAACACAACGCTAGCCCTCTAATTGGAGACCAACCCCGAGACCACCCCACATTTTCAGGTCCCAAAGGTGGTCTCGAATGGGAGGGTGAACTGTATTTATTAGAAATGCGTGGACAGATTTTTCAGCCTAATTTTTGGACAGAGGATGTTTTATTTTTAGTACAGTATGAGGGTACACACTGTTGAGACTTGCTATTAGAAGAAGCAATAAGATTATGCAATTTAATGCTTAATAAAGTAGCAATGTCATTGACTAAGGCTAGTTTATATTGATTGTAAAATAGGTCTAAAACTTCTAAAAGCCTATAATAATTAAATATGTATAAGAAGTTTATATTAAAAAAGTTAATTTCATGAAACGTCACTCAAAAACATGCATGCAGTTAATTTCTAGCTACTTGTACGTACATCCTAAAACTTTGGCGCTCATAGAGAGTCCTAATGGTGAGCCTGGGACTCCTAACTGTCTGGTGCCAGATTTTTATTTTTGTGGAAGTGGTTTGGCACAGCGGGATTGGTTTGGTGTCCCAACCTCGAGGTCGGGGCTTCAATTCCTGCGTTTCGCTTGTGTCCTTAGGCAAGGCACTTTATCTGCATTGCTTCTCTCCACCCAGGAGTAAGTGGGTAGCTGGTAGGGTTAAATGTCAAAATGCACTGATGTAGCTGCTGCAATGTTATGAAATACTCCCCAGATTTGATCCAATGACTGGGGTAATATGATAATGTGAAGTGCATTGAGGGCTTAACAATAAAGCAATATATTAGTCTATTATTATTATTATTATTATTATTATTATTATTATTATTATTATTATTATTATTATTATATAGACCAAATAATCATGTAAAAACAAGAAAATAAAGACATGAACAATAAAAAGTATAAAAATTGATACCAAATCTATAATTTACATGGTTGTAGGCCTACAGCAAATAGACAATAATCAAGTCAAAAATGTACACATGTCAACACACATAAGCATACTTACTATATAAATAATTATGTAGTACAGGTGTATACATTTATGTAGTACAGTGTTCTTTTTGCTATTTTTAGGCACCAGCTCTACATGACAATGGCACAACTCTGAATGGACTGAGTACCATATTGCAGTATCTTGCACAGAGAGACGCATCTCAGGAAGAGTATAGAAGTCCAGAGGATAAGGCTAGCATTAGACAATGGTTGGAATATAGAGTAACAGAAGTGGATAGATGCGAGAATGAAAAAGATGTTTACTTAATTTTAAAAGTAAGATAAACCACTGGCACCCAAACATGACAACTCAGTTATCATTTTCATAGAGGGTTTCAAGGTGTGGTTTGGGATGTGGCAGACAGCCAGGCCCTTCCAAAGTTTTGGGGGAAATTAGTTAAAAATTGGCAAAAAAAAAGATAATTTCACTTACAATGTTTGTGTAAGCATGGAGGTATTATTGACGCGACAAACCTATGTGTTCCCCGCTTTTGGATCGCGCGCGGGCGTATTACCCTATAATTCACATTTTTTCGTTAGCAACAACTTGGCAACGACATGCATTTATACGCTTCCAGCAGAGCAGTTGTGCAATCTGTCTCTTATACACATCTAACCCTCGTTAACCCTAAAATGACTTAGTTTATTATAATCCTTAATCATTTATTAATTAATATCTGTTAAAATTAGAATTGGCAAATTTTGGCCAATTTATGAAAATTGAAGTTGAAATATACTATACTTTTATAGGTCATGTAAATATTCCATTAAATTCGAAACTTTTCTTGGTGGAAAATATTAATATGTTTGATATTTTATGAGAGATAAATGTATCAGCTTCAAAATAGAAAAGATTGCGCAGCCATGTGATTGACAGTATGTAGTGCGCATTGAGAAAAGAAGGTGCTCTCCATTTCGTCATGTTAAATTTTCTGGTCAACTATGCCTGCTGAAAATTTGACGGCGGGGAACACATGGGACTTCAAAGGCATCGCGCAAACGTTCTTTACGCGCTGCGGCAACTTTGATCTTGGTTCATTTGCATAGCGCTGCGTGCGCGTAGCTTTGCCGAGTGATCTCCTTTTCAATAATACCTCCATGGTGTAAGAGTGCTATTTCTGGCCATAGACAGTATATTCTGCTAGATAAATTCAAATTTCTCTATCCTTTAAAGTTATTGTTTGAGTGCATCCTTCCTAACTAACCATCACAAAAATCCTTTGTAAATGAATAGATGTTACATAACCAGCGTCTGTTGACAACAGAGAGCGCCATCTGGCATCTTGACGACATGACTATGGTACTCTATAGGCATACTACCGGCTAAATAAACACTGCAATTTATCATGGTCATGAGCTATGTTGTACATGAAATCGGTGATTTACGTTAATCGACAGACAATATAGGGAAAAAAGCCAGATGAATTATAAAGAGAAACACAAAGATCTTCTTCATCCAGTGCACACATTGGGTACCACCAGCTTAAACAAACTGTGTGCGCTATTCTGCTCTCTAAATACTGCACTTTTACGCTATTAAGTATACTCGTTATTTATTTATTAATATAATTTCTCTTGCAGGAATTGAATGCCTACTTATCTAATAATACATACTTTGTTGGTAACTGTCTTACTATTGCCGACCTCTGTATTTACCATGGACTCCATTCTATTATGGTAAGCATAAGCTCTACAGTAAACCATTTTTGCCATATAAATCTAATAATGATAAATCTAATTTTTTTTTTTAGAAGGCCTGATACTAAATATTACTAGAATAGATTTGATTAAATGTTTATTTGAATAAAGTACCCAACCATTACAATTACCAATATATACGAAAATACACATTTTTAAGACAACAAATTAGGGCATTAACTATGCCTTCTTTGTGTCTACCGCATACTTGCAGGCAAGTAGACACTTTTCTATCATCTCACCTGTAAGTTGTAGGAGTAAATCCGTTTGGAGAAATGATGGGATGCGTCATAAGCTAAAGATAGAAATGAACAGTCTTCCAAAGTTAAGCCAATGAAACATGATGCCATGCCTAGGCCTGTCCTAGAAAGAACTAAAAAGTCAACAATCTGTTACTTATACAAGTATTCATTCATGTGAATTGCCCACACAAAAAGCGTGAAATGCTTGTTAGTTAAAAGTAGTAAAAAAAAAAAAAAAAAAGACAAACAAAAACAAAAAAACTCTATTAAGCAGTTACTTGACAAGTGCTCTCTCTGAGAGCCTATTTCTTAATTGACTGTGCAGGCATTACTAAAATTGTATGTTTGCTGCCCTCTTGGTCGTATCTATTCAGTATTCAAGATGACTTGAGATTGTAATGAGACAGTAGTGAGCAATGAATATCATCTTAACCTTCAGAAGTTGCAGGGAGCAGGTTGGACCTGCTTATTTTGTATGGCCCATTTATGCTATTGTGTGTTCTTAAAGTTAGGTGTTCTTGAAAGCTCTGTTAAGATGATTTACTGATGTATGTGTTTGTTTTCCATGATTAAGTGAGTTTTAGGTAGAAGGAAAACATGTAAACCTGCTTCCTATCATTATAGAATTGAGTTGGAATTACAAAAAAATTTGCGTCAATTTCCTTTATAGAGTCATCTTACCTACCAAGAAAAGGAGAAATATAATCATGTATCAAGATGGTTTCATTTTGTAAGTAGAAACAACTTGCTATTGTTATTATTTATTGTTGTTTATTGTATATTATTGTCATTGTAGTCTCTCTAGAAGGATAATAATAAATGTTAAATGTTTTTCTTTTCAACTATTTTTAAGTGCTCTGAATATGGGGCGAAGTTTATAAATACTTCTGTGGATTTTCTCATTAAGGGATTTTTTCCCAACTTGTAAAAATAATGTTAACCATGTTTAAAAAATAAGTACAATTGTTGGTTGTTTATTTTAGCACCACTGGCTGTAAGGGCTACTGAAACAAAGGTGAAATGTTACAAATAAATAAATAAATATAAGATACTATATACTGTATTAAACTGTGTTTAGGAAACATCTTTTCAATCAAAAGAAGAGTTTTCAGTACTGCATGCCTAATTTAAAGCCACTATTTTTTTTTCTGGGATTATCTGTAAAGTTGGCCGAACTTCTCATTAAATTTATACAAAAAGGAGTCAACAAAGTGATTCATTTCATAATGTTTTGATTGTAAAAAGGATTTATAATCAGTTTTTTTTTTATTGTGTTTTTTGGTTTGCCTACAGATCCAATGTCAACCACAATACAAGTCAGACTTGCCAAGTATTCCATTCCAGTCGCAGTCTCTGTACCCAGCAGTGTAACAAATAGAACGTCTAGGGATTAATATGTACTGTAAAAAAAAGAACATACCGTAATATACTATGTATATCTGTACTTTATAGTAATAATGGTGTATGAATCTATACATTTTTATTAATAGTTTAACATTGTCTTAAGTCATTACCAGATTATAAAATTTTCATTGAAAAAAAATGTTGTTTGCCTATATATAGTCATGAATGTGCCTATACTATGTGATGTCATCATGACCATATTTAGGCTTGCCACATGTTTTTGTCAAATAACATTTGATAGTCTGGAAAGGTCCCTTCAAGGCTAGGCCTATACCATCCTAGCTAGTCTAGGCCTAGAGTAGGATAAGGCTAGCGCGACATGCGGACGTTGGTACGTGTTGGTTAGTCTACAAACGTCGCCTAAAGTAATTGATTTTACCCGGCAGAAGGAAAGAAGGAAACTCCGCTTTTCAGTCGTCTTATAGGCCCTTGTTTTTTGACAAACAATGACCTTTCAGATGTCAAATTGCTGTCAAGAATATGAATTGGCTGCTTCGCAGCAAAAAATTCATTTAAAATATATTTCTCATTAGAGCTAATGTAGTACAGTTAGTAAATTAGTATCTATAGTTAGTTAGAAAACTTATACCTTTAATAATATTATGCAATGTCATCAGACAAAATTCAGACATCATGTTATGAGTTGTGCTGAAAAGTTTAAATAATGTGGAAATCCGGGCATGTCTAAGGATTCTTTTAAAACTGGGAATTCTTTTAATTTTCAGCAAATTATTGTTTGAAATTTTTGCGGACAGTTGAGATGGTAAGGTCTCTGTAAAGCATCTAGAAGGGTACAATTATTATAGTAAAAAAAATATTCACAGAAAGAAACCATGATGTCCTTGAATATATTAGCTGATATAATCTGTTTGTCCTTTGGTAATAGAATAGAATAGAATCTTTCTTTATTCTGGATACTCAGTCAGTATTGTTACACTGTTCTTCCCTGAGGTCCAGGGTATTATCTTAAACTACATTATATAACAAAATAAAATTAAAAGAAAAATTCATAAAAAATATATATAAACAGTATATATATAAATATAAGAAACAGAAAAGAAAAACAAAAGGGGAAATTAAATGAGAATTTTAAAGGATTGTAAGGCAATCTGTCTCTTATACACATCTAGATGTGTATAAGAGACAGCAATGGGGCCTCTGTATTTTAATTACAATAGAACCCCTAAGTGGACACCTTCGTAACCAAGAAAGTTTCTCCTCAATAGGGGTGTCCCCTGAATAGGAATTGGCCGTAGTGTTAAAACATATATTTCCTTCGATTTGCAGCCATTCATTCAAAATGGTATATTTATTCAAAATTCAAAATTCAAATTAAGACATAAAACATAGCATCCAAAAGGCTGAATTGCGAATTATGTTAACAATTAAAACCATTAAAAAAATCAAACAGCAAAGATAAAAAAACAAGTACATCAAAAAAGAGAAAAATATTGCATAAGGATCGATATTCTATCCAATAGTTATGAATACTAATATAAAAAAGATCAAAAAACATCATAACAAGTAGATAAAAAAAAAAGAGAAAAAAGGATTGCACAAAGATCAAAAATTGTCATTATTATTGTCATTATTATTATAGTTAAGAAAAGTAATACAAATCTAAAAGGACATCATAACAAAAACATCAAAAAGAGAAAAAAGATTGCACCAAGGTCAAAACATAATCATTATCGTTACAATTAAGAATATTATAATCAATATTATTTTCATTATTATTTATTATCATTATTATAACTGTAATTAAGGATTGTCATAAAAATATCAAGAAACATAAATGAGAAAATCACAAACATCAGAAAAAAATTACAATATAGAAAAATACATTGAATAAATTGCACAGGGACCAAAAAGGAAGGCAAGGTGGAGGGGGGAATCACTGAACCGCAAAAGGGCAATAGCATGCACCAAACCCCCAGGGGGAGAAGATATTTATTAATTATTAATCATGTCCTGACGCAATCGGGAAGGCACCCGGATTCGTTTGCAAGGCAATAGGCAAAGATGACAGTCGCCGGTCCGATAGAGTGAGCGATTCTATGGAAACTACAGTGGTGGCGCCAGGACCTGCCCGACAGGGGCTAAAGGCCCCGACGGTGGGCTATTTGAGCGAATCGAGTCCCACTTGAGTGGGGGACAGGGGGACGCCTAGGGCCCCCGTGGGGGTCCAGGGGGCTTCTCCCCTGAAAGCAATGGATATTTGATGAATTATGGCGAATTTTTATTACTTATTTGATAGGCAATCGAGTTACTATAATATGACATCATGTAGGCTATGCTTTCTAATCAGCTTCCAAAACCAAAACATTTTGATTGAAGCAAGAAACAAAGAGTATGCAATGTAACCATTTAATTAAGTGAAATTTTGCATGAAATCTGTCAACCACGCTTTCATGGTCGAGGTTGCTTCACCACAATGTAATAAAATAAGATAATATAAACTTTTATTTGTCCAAACATTAAAACATAAAAATCAATAAAAAACATATATAAAATACATGAAAATACATAAAATATTATTCTTATTAACAATTATTATCACAATTATAATCATTATTACAATCATTATCATTACGATCAATGCTCTATATGAATGTTTTATATTTATTATTACTATTACAACGATCATCACATTATCTTGATGCATATTTATTATATAATCTAATTGAGTTCATTACAAATGAAAAATTGTGTTTGTTATATATCGAACGAGGAGCTCGTAATCTCTGACCAGAACGCATAAATACATAGTGATTATGTAAAGAGTGGGATTCGTCCAACATAATTAAATCAAGCTTTTTCCTAACATTCTCCTCATATAGAGCATTGATCGTAGTGATATCACAACCAATGCACTGTTCTCCTGACCGTCTTACTCTCTCAAACTTGTTCTTATTTTCTTTACTAAAATTTCCAAAAGTGCATAATAAACAAAAATTAAGTATACTCTGTATAACAGATCTATAAAAAGTAATAAAATTGATTTATTTAAAAACAAGCTTCCTAACCTTCGGAGAAAATACAACCTTTCAGTTGCCTTACTGGCCAGTTTATCAGCGTGTGCATTCCAGCTTAATTTATCGTCAATTGTAATTCCAAGATAGAAATATTCATGAACTCTTTCCACACATTCACCATTAATAGTTACCGGATCATGTGTAGATTGGTTGCGACTAAAATCATAAATAATCTCTGAGGCTATCTAAATGAGCATTTGTCATAACAGAACGCAAATTATTTTAAATTAGTCTCATTGAATTATTATTATTATTATTATTATTATTATTATTATTATTGTTGTTTTTGTGATGAAAAGTTAACACAAACAATATGGTAGCTAAACGAATATTACATGTAAATATTTTTTTTGTATTTGTTCCCCGACAAAACTTAAACTTATCGTCTTCCCCGACGGTGGGGGGTTATTAAATAGCTATGAGCTTAAATGACCAATCAGCGTCGCCAAAAGACTCGGCGACAGCGTGTAGTGATTTTTTTGGAAACCAGACTTAACTTGCATTTCAGCTCCAGCTGAAATCATGGAGGTAATTAAGCCGACTAAACTAAGCTGCTCTGGCTACGGTCACACTAGCGTCTCAAGCCTGGCTTGACTCACCGCGGGTGAGATTTTCGTAATGTGACCGCATCTGCACCGACTCGCGCCTGGCGTGACCTCGATCTCAATCTACCTATCTCGATCGTATGAAACATTTACATGAAACTCCACTCGAGCCGTCTCGACTGAATCGACTCGGGCCGAAAATCTCATACAGTATTGCAGAATTCAGGAGGTCAAAAGGTCATCAACAGCTAAACGTCTACAAAATGCAAAACAACTTCTGAGAGAACGCTCTCAGAAGTTTTCAAATTTTCAGCTGAGAATAGGCAGCTCTAAATACTGGATGCCAAAGACCTGCCAAAATGGCAGAGCACCAATGAATGTATAAATGTAAGCCTAGTTATATGGTAAATAGTATCTGCAGGTTCTTGATTACAAGGCTAGACCAAGTTAATTAATGCCGAAATTATTATAGGGCCTATTTATTATTATTATTAGGCCTATTATTATTCATTATTATTATTATGTTATTAAAACCTACCTCAGGAACTTAGACAATGGAGAAATTAGAGAACATTAAAAAAAAACGAAAACGACGTTTAAGGGGAAATCGCACAAAAGATATTCCCTTGGGCTAGTTATTAATTATAGGCCTAGTAAATAGGTTATTGATTACAAGACTTAGGCCAAGGTAGTAATGCTGACATTATTATTATTATTATTATTATTATTATTATTATTATTATTATTATTATTATTATTATTATTTAACATTAATTACATTACAGGGATAGTTTGGCCAAGTTCAATAACGCCGGAATGGTATATTTTATTTATTACGGTATTATTTAATAATATTTCTCTTATGCACTCTATTTTTTATTTCATGCTTCAATTTTTTCCCCTTTTTTTCAAAATTTCAATCAACGTCATGTAAAGCGTGATTGTTGGTGTCAGCCAGGACCCTAGCCTAGGGACCAGCTAGGCCTAGTTTAGGGAGGGCCTATGGTAGGTAGGACTTTACTCAGCCTGCTTTAGGCCTGCAGTAGTTTATCTTCTTTCTGTCAGCCTTTGGTGTACGTCCTATATACACTTTATAAAGGGGGGTACTAGCTGTTGTTGTTGTAAATATTATACTAACATTTAATAACATACAAGAAGGTCACAGTACATCCCATAAATCCGTAAGATTTCATAGGCCTACCGTAGTAAACATAGAAAGAGCAATAAAAGTAAAACTCGAGCGTCACGACATTGCGAAGTGTCTGCTCTTGTTCCTCGTATCGAACTCGAGTCGAGTCAATCCGAGATGGACCGAGTGAAGTTTCCTACGGAAAAAAATCGCTCCCGGCTCAGCACCCACATTGACCCTGGATTGACATTTCCTCGTCGGCTGTCGACCAACCACAGTCGATGACGCCGTTGCGTTTAGAAGTTCTTGAATAAAAAACCCACGAATTCTTCATGTGTGTTCAATCAAGACGCAATCATTACTTTTCATAAAAGTTAATTCAAATTTTTAATTAATAATAATGCGATTGATTTGGAGCTACCAGGAAACTGCTGACCTGGTAGATTTGTGGGGCCAACCCGAGCTGAGAGACCGGATAGAAAATAAAAAAACAAACAACAAAACGGGAATTTTTGGCTTGCTTGCTGATATTAGCCAGTCTCGGACATGAGAAGAGAACGACGCCCCAAATTCAAACAAAAGTGAAGGCATTGCGAGCCCAATACAAGCTGATAAAAGATCAGTTGAAGAACAGTGGTTCGGGCACGTCTGGTGTAAAATCTTTGATTGCGATCCATCCAATCACGCGCGTATATCGAACCCCGTGAAACAGAGTTGGCCAAACTCTCTTTACGGCTCTGCTGTTTCGACTTTCATAATTTGGAGGTCAATCCAACTAGTGTGACCGACCCAGAATTTCGAGCCTGGCTTGAAATCTCACCCGCGTTGAGTCAAGCCAGGCTTGAGACGCTAGTGTGACCGTTTTTTAAGGTCCGGCTTATACCGGTTACCGAACGTTCTTTCTGGTTGAACTTATTCGAGTTGAACATAGACCTAACACATGATAGCAAACAAGGAAATTTGTGTCACTTTTGTATGATAATAGAGGAAATTCCAAATAAAACTAAAATAACGAGGCACTCTATTTGTCTTACTTCTTTATAAAGTACCGTCTATTTAATCTCTGCACTCAAGTTGTGGTTTATTGCTTTTATAAAACCGGTAGAGCGATACACGATTTTTAGCAGTCTTACCTGAAAATAAACATTTGACAATAACCGCTTTATTTTTGTAGGAACTACTATAGTTAATTGAAAAAAGGTTTTATTGAGAATGAACTAGTTTTGGCCTTACAGACTGACGATATTGTATAGTTGTTTACTATTCAGTGCATAATTCAATTTTGTAAATGTTTAGCCCTAGGCCTCATTTTCTTGTTAGTTCCGTGTCATAATTTCCACATCTATTGAGTATCGTCGTCCACAAGCGTATTTACTCGGTGGTGGGTTTTCGTAAATACATTTGTGTGTACTGTGCCTACTGTACGTTGAGAATTGGAAACTGACGGGATTCACACGACATGATTTTTTTGAACAAAATCAGTTACCGTATAATGACGTTTTTTATGTATTAATGTACGCTTCACTATCATATGGACGTGTTGGCAATATATAGGCCTATATATAGACATGTTGATGTAAGCTGTATACATGTCTAACAATAATGATCAATACAATGACATACTCGCTATGCAGTATTTTTCTTTTGTTCAGTAGGTTATTTTATTTATTCTGTTTCGAATGGAAATATTATGCGATTATATATAGCTATAATCTGAACGCTACCTTTCTTTTCTTAAACCAAAAATATTGTATAAATTTGTGTATTTCTAACCTAAACATAAAGTATGAATGTGATGGCTAACAGTACATTCTTAGTTTCAGTAAAATTCCTACCAAATTGCTACCTCCGCCACAGAGGTAGAACGGGAGTTATGTATTCACGGTTTCACCGCTGGCTGTCTGTCATCGGTCTGCCTTGTCTGCAGAATTATGCAAAACCATGAATGGATTACAGTATCATTAGATTTACCGATACGTCATCATCATGACTATATTTAGGCATGTTTTTGTCAATAGTCAGGACGGGGCATTACCGTATGTAAACATTATGATACTGTATTCCTTTATTAATTATTATTATTATGTTATTCTGGAGATATTAACAAAGTGGTGTGATTAAAATATGCAATCTGTTTTTTGTAATGAAAACAGGAATCTAGATAATATTGAAAATACAATAATTTTAGAAGATTTAAAGAAATAGGCCTACTCAATTTCGTGCAGCAGCGTCATCTATATAGTTCATGAGAATAAAACATCGCACCTACTGTAGATACTGTGCAGTTAGATGTATGTAATCATAGAGCAGAAACCGAGAGTTTACAAATGGTGCTATAAGCAGAAACTACCAACACAAACGAACTCTACCGGTAGGCCTATTAATACATACAATTTGTTCAAATAACTTTGTGCATAATTGTTTATAGAACCATGATCAAAGAAAAATAATTAATGACGCTATAAAATTTAGGTGTATCATTGTACTGACAACCGGTGAATAGATGTCCGGAATTTATACGAGCTCTATCAGGCACTCTACTAAATGCATAGAACATTTCTAGATACATTATTATAAAGAATTTCGGTGATCTGATGATCTCTCTGGTATAGATAATCGATGTCTATAACATACTTCCATTACACATTTTTTAGAAAATACGTAGTAATGAATAGTAGTTCTCGATATTATATAGGGCCTACGGTATGTGGGCCTATTTAATATATATATATATATATATATATATATATATATAAAATATTGGCAACCCATGTCCATAAATGCAGTATATTTCATACCAACACCAATTATTTGCTCTAGTTTTATTATTTTAGATTATTAAACACACTCACACATAACCATATTAATATTCTTCAATTGCTACTCCAAAATTATGTTTTATATTCCTTTTCACTAACAGGGCTACATTTTGTGTATAAAAATAAATAAAATATAGACATATAACTTTATTTACAATTATATTTTGCTATAGTATACAGTAATATTTGTTACGGTATGCTTATATTTTTTAGAGACCAGTAAGCCTATACGGTCTATTATTCTAACCACACTCAATCCGACAAATAGAAATAGGTGTACTCTTTCAAACATTTTCCCATTTAGCGTGCTCCGGGTTAATATTCCAAGTTTGAAATTATGGTATAATGGAAGATATATAAACCCTATTTAGACATATTCAAGAACGAAGTCGTCATTGAAAAAAAAAATCCAGCGAACGTATTTAGACTGCTGCTTCGATTTCTTCACCATAGCCCTCATCTGAACCTGTTGTATGACTTCCTGTTGGCGAAAGATTGTTGATGTGTTTTTGAGAACCATCTGCTACATGGGATTGCGAGACGTGTTGTTTCTGCCTTTTCTTCGTAGCAAGATGTTCTCTGTCAACCTGTGCGTATACACTCTCTGTGTTTGCAACCACGTCTTTATCTTCACTTGAAAGTTTGTTTTCAGTTTTCGGGCTCTCTTCGGTTATGGTTGTATCATTAAGTTCTTCCATAGATTGGTACAATCCGTCTGTCGAAGCAGACATGTTAGAAGATTTGAGAAAAGTCTCGTCCGTTTTAGTAGGTTTCTTGTTTACCTGTGTGTTCAAGGCACTGACATCATCATCCTCTACCTCTTTCACAGCCTGGGGTTCAGAATCTTGTTGTTTCTTTACCTTATTCGATCCTTTCTGTTTTGATTTATCTGAAGATTTTTTAAACTTCGATTTTTTCTTCGAGCTTTTATTTTTCTTGCCTTTGGCTGATTTACGATTCAATCCAAATTCGTCTTCTTCTAGGTCGTCCTGATCATGTATATCGATCATTCTATTGCTTCTGTTTTCAACCTCGGCATCAACATAGTAGCCCCCAGTAGCACCTCCATGTTCTCCGTTCTCTAAATCGGCTCCTTCATTATCATATCCAGCATGGACATAGTCGTTGTTTCCAACTGATATATCATCTTTATGTTCATGGTATTTAAAATCGTTAGATGTTGCAGCATCTTCCATCGTTATCTCAATAACTCGGTCGCCATTTTCTTTTTCCTGCCGTCTGTAGCCATCTTGCTCTGGGACATCTGATGTACCGAATTGATGCATCACATATTCGTTTGAATTCGTGTACATTGCACCACGCGACCTTCCTAGTCTGTTCTTTCTGTATCTGTAAAAAGTTAAAGTTGTTTAAATAATTATTTCAAACATTCTTCACTTTGGTTTACAAAATGCAAAACAATTTTACTAGTCATTTTCCATTATATCCGTACCAGCAAAGATGACACACTTGAATTTTATAATTGCGCAGTTCGTTAAAGCTGGTGGCAAGTCGGGTCACCTTAAATAAAATCTTCAAATTGAGATTTAAGCATAGGGAACTATTAGATAGTCTGTCTAGTCAAAATTACGAAACAGATTACCAGCGTTCTTTTTGAATAATTTCCTAAAAAGTAAAATGCAAAATAATGCCTCAATGTAGGGCCGGTTAGTGGTTCAAACTGCCGGCGTAGGGGCAACTTGAACTATATGTCCTGACTTTTTAACGACAAACTTTATTAACAATAATATAATGTTGCACTATTATACAAATAAATTATGTGCTATCAATAATTGTCTTCTTGTGGTAAAAGAAAAAATAAATAAAATAATAAAGGTGTAATAATTGTATCCAGACTTATGGACATATTTAATTCTATTTTTTTTTTCTCTAGGTACAGTATAGTTGTTGTGATGTCACCATCAAATATGAAAAGAGGCGCACACACACTATTTATAGGCCCAGTTTCTGTGAAATAAAGGTTATGAGCATCATGTTTGTAAGAGACGTTACCTTTTTGCTCATTCCTCTATTCGCCATTAAGGCCTGCATCGCACTGGTTGCTGTGGGTACTAAGGGACGATCCCAAATTTTATTGTAACACAATGTGTTATTTAGGAATAAAATGGACGCATGGCATGAAGGGAGCAGCGACACAACAGCTAATTGTATGGTTAGATATAGTGAGACCGTAAATTGTGCTTGAGGATCAATAGTCCACGATTCATTATCAAGAATAAAATGTTGGTAAATTACCTTCTTATTATGATCGAAAACAGAATAAATGCTACGATAATCAAGAAAACCATTAACGCAACAGCAACAGAGAGCGACACCACATCTGGAGGGTAAAAAAGTGCATGTTATGAGCCTTTGTGATGTTAGTGAGAAGCGACTAGTACCGGTAGTGTATAGTCAGAAGCGACTAAGAATAGCACCTCCATGATTATCATAGGTGTGATACACTAATAAAATCCAATCCAATCAAATACAAGCTAAATCTGGAATTCTTATTTTCTGATTACAATTCAAACCAGGGTTCCGGCCCATTGCCACCCTAGGCCCGTTGCCACCCAGACCCGTTGCCACCAGGCCTTTTGCCACCTTTGGGAATGTCGAATATTTATATTATTTTGGTGGGTTTTTTACACAGATTTGTACTAGTAGGCCTACTGTAGCAGACTTTTTTTTTCCTTGATTAAATTTACTTTCCCGTTTAATATTTAATTAGGCCTATTTGTTTACTGTATTTTATTTCAAACACTCGTCCATGCGCCTTCTTACCACCAGGAGAAAATTGCAGAAATAAACATTGTTATAAATCCGCATAAAGAGAGACATACTGTAGTGTCTAGTTTATTTTTATATTTTATTTTTAAGTATATTCTTATTCTAAAATAGAAAGAAATAGCTTGTGCTTTTACAATTAAAAAAACAACACATTTATGATAATAGTTATTTATATAGTATAACCACAGCCCTATATTAATATTATGTGTGTATAATTAACTTTATGGAATTTATTTGGTATTTTTCTCTTTAAGCGGACAATTTATTACAAGCATATATATTTTCTCATGAGAAATAACCGTCAATGACAAACTTTGGACAAAGCCCTTCTTCTGAGAAAACTAATCCTCCTGATTGTTTATACCGTGAAGGCTATTGTTCAGATTATAGGTTCGTCAAGCCTTAATTTGCGTGGCCTTTAATTGGTCAGTTGGACCATAGAGAACATGGTTTCCCCCACCCATGTTTTTTTTTTCTATTGGTATACCAATATGATTATACATTTGGCTTAATATCTTAAAAACAACAAATTGTGTGAGGTATATATATATGTATGGGCATAGGCCCATTTCTATAGCGGTAGCAGCATTAACATATTCAACATGTTAATAATGATAATAACTTATCATCGCTATTTTCATCATTGTCACTATATTTATGTTCATTATTATTTC